TATTGGATACAATATTTTATTGCTTTGGGAAGAGAGGAGTGTATACTGTAAATCATTTTGAACATTAAATTACTAAAAAAAATCTAAATTCATAGAAATTTCAGTGACACCATCTACTTAATGTTATCTTTCTCTTGCAGAGAGATAGGATTTCGGTCATTGTTTATTTTCTCTCCCTCTCCATCATTCTTTTTTTTGAACTTCATTCACATGAAATTCTATAACATATGTTCTGTAAAAACTAGTCATATGTATTGAAAAAATGCCCAGAGGGATTGGAATCCCTATAAAAGCATTATGAACATATGGGGAAGGGAGATATCATTTTCTAAGCAACCTTGGAACTGTTAGCCATTGGTCAATATTTGTCCTGCTTGCATCCAGTTTGCATTTTGTTTCAAAACAGATGCATCTTTAAATTTCAAGTTGGAAAATTACTTGTTATGTCACATTTTCATTATTTTTTGTAACTACAATGTAAATCTTTATCAGTTGGATCCTTTGTTAGAATCTTTTTGTTAGAAAATATTCAATCATTTGTGGTACTAATTCTGCAAAGTTGCTGAAAAGAGATCTTGGGAAAGGATTTTGTAAATGAAGATTAATGAACCAAACTTTTTGCTTATTGATATTTTCCTTCATAATCCTTGCAAAATTGCTGAATACGTCTTTTAATAGGGAGACTAATTATTCTGAAAAACCTGAGACTTCCTCCACATACCTCAAGGGATATCTTCGTTTCCGTACCCAGTTAATCAAGGATGATGTAACTGAGTCCTGGGTGAAAAGAAACAACAGAAGGTTTAGCTCAGTTATGGAATACAACAAAGTTACCGGCTAGAAAAATAAATCTTGGAGAGCGTGGGGCTGCAGATCAACAGATGTTTGAAGCTAGGTTCCGCAATTACATTTATTATTTATGTTTGTAAATAAACTCAAATGTTACGAACTTCCAATGATTATGTGTTATCTTCAAGATTTTTCACCTTTAAAGAAAGTACTGTAATATGTTTCTCTGTGGCTAATGGATATATTGATTTCATGAAACTGTGAATTTGGGATCACAAAATGGATGCATTAAAACAAGATCATGGCAGGTATCACTGAATTACAACTGCCAGTATTCCTCACCATTGCCTAGGACAGTGGTTCTCAACCTGTGGGTCAGGACCCCATTTGGGGTCGATCGATCATTTCACGGGGGTCGCCAAGCAAGGCTGTCCGCCATTTTTTTGTCCGCCATTTTTTTTCCCTTTTCCGGTGGGTGCCTTACCTCCCTTGGGCTGGGCCAGCTGGTGGTCAGCCTGCTCCGTCTCTGCTGCTTGCCAGCTACACCTCGGCCAGCGCAGGGGGCGGAACCACGCATGCGCGGCGCTCCCGGGCAGGGAAAGTCCTCGACTTACGACCGGTTGGGTAGTCCTTGACTTACGACCGGTTTAGTCCTTGACTTACGACCGGTTTAGTCCTCGACTTACGACCGGTTGGGGTCGCGGCATTAAAAAGGTTGAGAACCACTGGCCTAGGAGTTGTAATTTAAGCAACTTATAGAGTTAAGAGTTTCCCAAGTCCCCTAGAGAGATACAGATGTATAATCTGTTACAAATGGAAATGAAGTCAGAGTTATGGATTTTTTTTCTCTACATCTGCACAGGGTCCCTTATATGCTGAATAACCAATTTGTAAAAAGGAAAAAATACAACATATTGATCAAATACTGCATGTTGTCAACAACAAAAAATCCCACAAGCAACTTCCCATCATTGCAGATATTTGCATTAGAGAAAAAATAAATTATGTTTTTTATTCTTAAATAGATATTTGATAATATGGCATGGTTCTGCGTTAATTTATCAGATCTGCAATTGTATGAAAAAGTATCCTTCCTCCTTTTGGAATTGTTAAGTTTTTATATATTTTGATACTTATCAAAGCATTGTTGGGTCCTAATGATATAAAATTTGAGTCTGAATGAAACAAGTAACATCAAATGTTGGTGATTGTTTCATTTATTTCATAACAAAATAATCTAGCTCGCTGTAGACCAATGTGAAAAACAATTGCCCCTTAGTTTCAGTGATTGCATCATGTTTAGCTGCGAGAATTGCATGCACGCACTTCCTGGAATTGGTGATCATATATCATCTATGGGGATTTAATCCCATTTCTCTAACAGTCAAGTAACATTTGAGGTTTTCTTAGCATAAACTGCTCATTTTGAGTCCTGCCAAAGTGTTAATGTGCAGCTTTGATCTGGACATTCTAAAACATTGACTTTGTTCTTCATTATTTACTCTGTTGTAAACTTGCTTTTATGTCTGGGGTCACTGTCTTGAATCTACTTGCACTTCATATGACAGATGACAAGTATTCTCCTGTAAAATCCTCTGATACAAACAGCGTTCATGTTCCATACTTTTCTCATCTGTTTAACATTCCTCCTCCTGACATTCTTTGGCATCTTTCAAATGCTTTCTGACAAACTTGAGACAAGTGTCAGTGTTTTTCTTAGTGATTTCCATTTTGTTCTTCTTCTTTGAACCCCATTTTTCATCAACTACTTTTCTGAAGATAGGGTCATGAGGCTTTAGCCAAGGTGTGAGAGGCTTGCAGAACTTTGGATTAGGGTTCTCTGTAACTTCTTGGAATGTTATACTTTGCACTAATTTATTTATTTATTTATTTAATTTTTGCCACCCATCTCAGTCTGTAAAGCAACCCTGGGCAGTTTACAATTAAAATCATAAATATAAAAATATCAAAAAATATTAAGTACAAAAATAAGAGTAAAGTCAGAATTGGTATGGTGATGGCATCTTCCTTGTTAGTCCACCAGCAACCTCCAACAAAGTAGTCTTAGAACAATTTTGAAAAGAAAATGGCATATGTTCATTGGGAATATTAAAATAAATATAACTTTGCCATTTTTTTTAACCCTTCATTGTCACAGATTTCAGAATACAAACATTAGATTATTTGTGTATGTAAAAATTAGAGATGAAGAATCTATTACCATGCAGAAACCCGAATTCTCATTAACTCTTGCTAGTTTGTCCAATGCATGACTTATAGAAATCATGGACCAAAACATTTGGAGTGACTCAAACCAGAACAAAGTACCGTACACAAAACTTGTGCTTTAAAGATTGCAAGCAGTCCATCACTTTTTTCTGATCCCCAAAAATCTCCCCAAGTAAGATGAGTCAAAATTTGAGGCACGTTTGGGGAAACCTTGGAGGATTTAAAGAATAATGTCAGTGCATTAACATTTGCAAATGCTTGCAACACTCATTTTACCCTTTAAAACTTTTGAAAATTCTTGCCCTCCAACTTTTGTAATGTGGTTCACTAAATGCCACACAAACAATGAGGCAGTCCTGAGTCAGCCAGCAGTTATTCATCCCTAATTCTTGCTTAAGGCACATTAATCTTATAAGTGGCAGACGTTCAAACATGTTAAGTTAAAACAATTTAAAATTCATATTTTGGTTTCTTGTTTGTATGGATTGTTATGATAACCAGTCAAGAGAAGATATTGTTACATGGAAAACACAATGCCATACTCAAAGGTAAGATGTAGTTGAGAATAATACACCATCCTAAGCATGCACCACAGAGAGCTATGCTTCTTTAAAAAATGGATGGCATGTCCAGTTGTTTCCAAAACAGCACTGAGCAGATGGAATCACTGGATACACCCCAAAGAGGCAAACAGATAGTATTCCTGTAACCAAATGAATCAGAATTAAATATGTTTTCCTTATATCATTTCTAAAATAGGTCAGCCCATTTCAGTGCATTTTTCCTACAGTTCATAAAAATCTTGATTAATAGCCTCATTGATAAGCTTTTTTAAAAAATTGACCTAAAACTTAAATTTAAGCAAGCCTATTAGAAATAGAGGAACCAGCCATGTGATGTCAAGCTGTATATTAAGTTTCTGCTATACAGTACGCCCTGCCTGTCACTGCCTCATCGTGGCTTTCAGACTGGAGCCTTTATCAGCCCTTTTACTCAGTCACAGTCCTTTACCAATAATGAGAGTATTCACAGGTTAAAATCATAATGTGGTCCGATTTTGACATGGCATGATCCACGAACCCGACCAACTGATTTATTAAAGAAACCATAGTTAAACAAACCACCACTTAAGTTTGAAATGCGAACTATTCCTTTTGCAGATGGGATAGCGCCAACCTGAAATAGTAAAGTCGTCACCCAACCAACCCGTTAACAATGCTAACGCCTAAAACACGCGCTTTACTCAATTTGCACAAAGGTCGGTGGTTTCTATCTTCATTCTTGCAAGTTCCACGGGGCAAGCGCTTGCGATGCTGCACGTTTGAGCCGTTTTAAGATAAAGACAACCTTTATTGTCACTTTTTTTTTCCTGTTAACACCGGCGCACATTAAAAAATGATTTTTTTAAAAAAAAATATATATCTTGAGCCCTTGTACCGTCTGAACCCTTTTCTCAGAAGACAACGCCGCCGTGCTCCACGGGGTTTCCTCCCAGCCTATGGGTTGCCAGGTGTCCACTATTTGAGTGGACAGTCCACTTTTTTCACATTATGTTCACTATTTTTTTTCACAAAATAGTGGACATTTTTTTATTCAAAAGCTTTATGATGAAATGGTACGTAACCTAAAGCTGTACAGTCTACTTTTTTTTACTACTTAACCCCCCCCCCGCTTGTCCGCTATTTTTTGGAAGCAGACCTGGCAACCCTATATTGTATTTAGAATAGCAGACAGACGATTTCCAACAGCTGTGCTGCTCCTGTCACATCTTTGCAAGCGCGACCAAACTCCGCCACCGGAGCATTCAACTTGCGCTGCTGCTGCCGCTGCAAAGGACAAATACTGTAGGAATAACCCGAAGCCGCCAAGAACTTCCAGCCCGCTCCTCCCTCCGGTTCAATAAGAGCCAGCAAGGCCCTCCCCTCTATGGGCGGAAAAAGAGCCCGATGCTGCTCCTGCCCGACGCGCTGGTCGCCGGGGCTTTACGCAATCGATTCGAAATAGCGCAGAGTGGCGGCCGCCGGCTTCTCCCCTTTGGGGAGGGGAAGTAGGTGCGTACCGTAGGAGGGAGCGACGCACCGGCCTTAGAAAAGCAGCCAGGGTCTTCCGCAGCTTGGGGCGGAATTCGCGGGACTCGAGCCGTTATGCAAAGAAAGCCCAGGAGCGCGAAAGTTAGCACCAGTGGCAGAAGGAGGGGCGGCTCTCTCATCGAGCGGGACGCGTGACTCGACACCTGGACGGGCCGCGGGAGTTCACGGGTTTGATCAAGTTGCGTGAAGGTGGGAAGAGCTTTCTTTTCCACCTTGGGAAGGCCGGGAGTGGGGGGCAGGATAAGCAGCTGTTTATTTCGGAGATGGGTGGGGAAGGGAAGTCGAGCGTTTGGGAGCCCAGCTGGTGGTAACTTAAGCGGTTTCTACGAGAAGGCGCCCGAGTGGTGCTGACGTTTTTACTAGCGCCGCCCCAAACGCTGTAATTTTTCTGGTCGACCCAAGTTCTTTAAAAGGGTGCTGATTCTGCAAAAATGTAGGTTGGCTGAGGTCCAGATCGTGCTAAACCACAATGTTGTACCGGGCCAAAGCCACACAATGTTGTTTGTGCGGCTTTGGCCGGGACCCAACTGTGGTTTATTGGACGACATACGCGTAAATGAAAGGTAGTGCAGCGCAGTATAAGAACACGCGTGTCCACCTCCTCGCCCCGTTTCTTTGCCATGTATTGATTCACTTTATCACCCATTCAGAAGCATCACTTAGAAGCAACCTCAGTCTGGAGAGTTCATACTGTATAGGTGTTTTTAGAACAAGCGTCCAAGTTCTTTCTGATTTCCGTTCTTCAGAAACAAAGCCAAAGTAGCCTTCCTGAAGAAAAAGAAAATCCATATTGAGAAAATATCTTCAGTATGCAGATTACAAAATCATTGTAGACTTTCGATGTGAATTCTGTATCATACTACAGGAAAATATGATGGTCAGGATAATTTATGATTGGGTGGGTCTGCAAACCCAAGAAGCTGGATTTCTTCAGTAAACCATGGTTAAGTTAATTGTGTGTTGTGTTAGACATCGGCAATGAAAGATTAGGAAAATAAGATGATAACATTTGGAAAAGGATAATAGTGTGACACAAGGGTAAGGAAGATCCTTGACAAGTGCTTAATTGTTTTAGGTATGCCTGGAATTAAAGCATTAAGATTCAGATAAGATTAAAAAACAATAGCTTACATTACACAGGCACTGGTCCCTTCATTTTTTCTTTATCACATGTTACACTCAGTATATTTGGATTGTCCCACATTAAGGTATAGAAGGACTGCTTATTTTGTTTGTGCTGTGTTATAAATAGATTAATACCATCAGTGTCCTGCTCTTTATCTCCCTCTACAGTATTTATACTATGTGAACCTTAGCTGGTTTTGTACCAAAAACATTGTACATTTGTTCCTTGTTAACTGGGTGCAGTTCATCCTTTTTCTTTTGTGCAGTAGTGTCTTCTCTCTTTCTTGATACTCAGAAAAATGCATTACTCTTATTAGAAAAACAGGGCTTTGGACCATTTCTTTGATTGTCATGATGTCCTGTACTGGAAAACTGTATGAGGATCTGGTCAAACTCCTGGACTTCTCAGCAGCTTCTGATCCTAACCAGATTAGAAGGGCAGAATATAAATCAATATCTTAAAAGTAGTTCCATGCACTGCATAGAATTAAGCTAATGTGTGTGATTAGTTTTGGCTAATTTATAACAGATACCTAGACAGTTTAGCTTACCATATTTATTGATTAAACAAATCATGACTTAGTATGACCTGAGCCACATCACTGGGTTGCACAGGAGTCCTTAGCTATGATTTAACAATGATTTATTGAATACATATAATTGGATGGGTTGACAAAGTATGTTCAGTTATAAACCATTATTTACAAAAAAGATGGTTTAATTTACATATTTGGTGCCAGCTTAATTTGTTTCTATGTAATGTGCAATTCTTCTCACTTCTGCCTATAGGGTTGGCAATTACTGAAACTTCACTACTACTAAATTGCATTGGATTATTAAACTTTTTTTGTCCCCAACTGTTAAAAAAGCATTTTCTTCACTTTTATCTATCTACTTATACATTTGCATAATATAATTAAATGAAGAAATATTTGCTCCTTTCAGATTTTTGTCTGTTCTGCCAAAATTACTCAGAGAGCATCGTGCTAGTTTAAACCTTCCCTTTAATATATTTTTATGAACTGGAATTTTAGCTGCATTGAAGGTACACTTTGGAGTGCCAGTAGCCTCTCAATGCTGTTGGGGCAATTTGACTTTTATTGACAATTTAAACTAGGGAAGGGAAGTCTGGTCCTTTGTATAGTTAGCAACTATCAGAGGCCTAATTGGCTGCCCTTTTATTCCAAAACAAATACAGGTAGTCCTCGATTTACGACCACAATTGAGAACAAAATTTCTGTTGCTAAGTGAAACATTTGAGAAATTAAGTGAATTTTGCCCCAGTTTCTTGCCACAGTTAAATGAATCACTGCAGTTGTTAAGTTAGTGACACGGTTGTTAAGTGAATCTGGCTTCCTCATTGACTTTGCTTGTAGGAATGTCGCAAAAGGTGATCACATGACCCCGGAACATTGCATAAATATGAGTCAGTTGCCAAGTATCTGATCACGTATCCATGGGGATGCTACAACAGTTGTAAGTGTGAAAAATGGTCATAACTCAGTGCTGTTTTTTTCCAGTGCCGTTGTAACTTCAAATGGTCACTAAACAAATGTAGGTTGAGGACTATCTGTACATTGTGAATTGGGAAGAAACTGGCTCACTTCCTGTCTTGGATTACTTAGGCATGTAAATAATTAATTGGTTTAAATTTGGGAATTAGAAAACTTGTTCTCTTTCATGATGGTAATATTTTGTTTTAACATTAGGTGGAAGAAAATGCAAGAACTTGACAAGATTGAAACCTTGAATCCAGAATGGTGGGTAGATTTTATTAGTTTGATTCTTGCTTATTAATAAACCTAATAAGAACTCAGGCATATGTTTCAGCAAGTTTTCTGTGTAAAGTATGGGGCTAGTATTAGTATTACCCTGTTGCTTAGAATGGACTTAAAGTTTGAAGTAGATGCTTCAGTCTTCTGAAGCTTTTAGTTGCTACTAAGTCAGTTGTTTTGGAGAGCCCATCAGTGTTAACTGTTGTCAGTTTTGGAGAAGGAAGATGCTTTGAGGGAAGAATTACTCTTTAGCCTAATAAGGAAGTGAAGATATCCAAAATCAATAGCAATGCTCATTGGAAGAAGATACTTGTCATCCCACACATCCAAAATTGTAATCTAACATACCACATGGTGGGATGACTATTATAAATAAATACAGAAGAAGAATTAACTCCACAGAAGTCAAAAGGAGTTGCCCAGGTAAATTATTGTAAATGTGTGAGGATAATACAGACTGAAATCTGTCTTTTATTGGGCAGTCCAAATCAAATAGTTGCACTCCAAAGGATTTGTGATAGAGGTGTGAAAAGCCTTTGATTTCAAAACAGCTGTTTCACTTTCAAATAGTGTTCTTCCAGCCTTGGTGACAGTCTTCCAGAATTACTCCAGAAGTATTCTGGGCTTGAAAAGATCGTGTTTTGCCATATCAGTTCTAAATGGAGCCATTTCCAGCTCGGAACACTTCTGCAGAGTTGGAATGATTCATTTCAAACTTAAGACATTTCAAATTCAAAATACTTTAGTCTGTGAACTTGATGCCATGCTAGTGCCTGCATTCAGCCCACATGTTACCTTTTCCCACCTAGCACATAGTGTTAGCTTATCATGAGTACTCCCAAGCAGCAGAGTTCTGTGCTGTTTTTCCCTGAAAAAAATAGCTGAAGTGTCCATGCATGTTTAAAATACAGATGGAAAGGAGTGGAGGGTAGAACTCTGTATATTTGTTTTATGTGCACAGAAGAGATAAAGTGTACAGAGGTATTGGTGTCTCACTGTGTCAGAAGCAATCAAGTTTTCTGTAGATACAGTTAATATCTGCTTAACAACCACATTTGGGATCAGTAAGTCTTGTCACTGAGACATCATGTGATCACAATGGACTTACACCATCACTTTCCATTTGGTCATTAAATGAATCACAAATGAGTCATTATGTGACCACAACTCACGATTTTATTGTCAGCTTTATTGGCTATACCTGTCAGAAGCCATATGTGAAGCTTGCAAATGGCAATCACATGACATAAGGGACATTGCAGTAGTCATAAGTGGAAGACCAGTTGTGCAATTACTTTTACATTAAGCAAGGATTAACTGCCTAAATCTAGAAAGAGGTAAGATTTTGAAATAGGTAAGAATTGAAATATTTGAGGATTAGTAAACAGTGATTGTATTGATGGCATAAGAATTCCAATCAAAAGTATAATTTCTTATTATGCTCTAACACTGCTTTTAAAATTTAGATTAAGAAGATAATATTCTTATTATTCTTTGTTAGGCTTTTGTGTGTTAAAAAAGACTTGCATAGCGTTCTCCAATTTAATGTCCTGTAAATTTCTGGGGCTTCAACGCTCACAATCTCATAATGGCTGACTGTGTAAGTTGACCTCTGGTAGACTATTTGATCTGAATGGGAATGGAATCAGAATGAGAAAGCTTTCCTTAGTTATACTTATTAGTTAAGGTTTCTGTTTCTTTTATTTATTGTTCAGCTGACTTTTAAATGTTTTTTCAGAGCAGTAGATTTCCTTTTCAATGCTTTCTACAGTCCTGAATGAATTGGTTGCTGCAGCTGCAATTTAGGCAAGTGATATAATTTGCACTGGAGTAATTATTAACTCTTCTCCTTCATAATAAATTATTGAGTTATACTTGCCATTAAAGAATGGAGCTGCTCTTGGCTGCAGATTTGGGTGGAGAAGGTTTCATTTTTTAAAAAAACAACTCTGCATTTAAGAAAAGACAGATTGTGTTTTCATACCCTTAATAACTGTAACTATATTTTCTAGGAGAAGGAAATATTTTCTTAGTATTTAGCATGATTACACATATGCTAGCAAGCAAACTTAAAAAGATTATTTGCTTTTTCTTTTGCTTCATTCTGTCACACTGCTTTAATAAATTAAAGGATTTTTTTATATATGGCATGAGTACAACTTCAATCTTTTTTCAGTCAAGATAATTGCTTCATTATATGGTGCTGTAGTGAGATAATAAGAAAGCTGTGGTAGTTAGGCTGACAGCTTGAATGATTATCAGACAACCCTACATCATATAGCAGAGAGACCAGAGTCTGCCATATGCAGTGTCTTGGAGAAAAATTAAAAATTAACATGAAATGACAGATCTTCTCAACATCCTTAGAAACATCACTATGGTAAATAAGGAGTTCCAGCAATTATACTATTATGCCCTATTATGTAACATGGAGACAGAGATCTTATGTTAACTGAGTAAGGCTTCCATAAGCCACAGTCTATAACCCCAAATAAGCATGCAGGAAACTTTCAGCAGAAATGTCCAGCATTTCAGTAGATACAGCCAGTAGATACAGCCAGCATCCACTGCAGTCATTAGAGCAGAAAATGCAGAGCATTCACTGTATTATTAACTGGCAATAGCAGCCAGAGCTGCGGTTCAAATGTCAGAGAAGAAGGAGTGGGGTTGCTCAACAGATGGCACTAAACATAGCATGGGCCACAAATCACTTTACTGGAGCTGAGGGACTTTGGGGGTTCCATGCTGCCCAGCCTTTGTCATTCCTTTCTTGGCAAAGGGCTGAGTGACAGTGGTGGTGGCTGACTCCAGTACTGTGAATCCACAGACATCTTTCAGATAAATGTTTGAATTCTCTTAATAGCTTTGTTTTAGAGGCACCACACACAACATGGAGGAAGGTGAAAGCACTTCATTCCAGATGTATCTACAGTGGCAAAGAACATTTTTTTAACCCAGTAGAAATATTTGTAGTCCTGCAGTACTGTATTCCACATGCTTTCTGAGCTTAATTTAAGTTCTATTAATATATAAAGAGATTCTGGTCTAACAAATGACACACTAAACTAGACGAGGGGGAACAGTTGTTGTGTGTCAGGTAAAAGATTCTGTTTGTCTTGGAGGAGGAGATTTTTATCTTCTCCTTTGTGTGTGTGTGTGTGTGTATATATATATATATATATATTAAAGAAGTGAGCATATCTAATATTCCTGCCTCCTATTTTCCTCACAACAATCTTGTGGGGTGGGGTGGGCAGAGAGAGAAAGTGACTGGCTTTCATGATTTAGATTACCTTTTCCAACACGATGCCCTCATGATTACTAGAACTGAATTTGGAATTGAGAAATTACTCCTTGGATTGATCTGGAATGTCTTATTTAACTAAGTTCTGTTAAAGATATAGTGCACATAGATATATTCTTGAAATGTTTTAACAATTCTGTAAAAAGCAAATTTACCAAAACCTATAGGCCATGTTTAATTCAAACAAAATGTTTTAGGTGAGTTTTCCATCTTACTTTGCAGGATTTGCCAACCCAAAACTGAGGGCCAAATTCAGAATGGTACAGAGCAGATTAATTGGGATGATTGTGTTGATAATCTTTTTAAAGAAGCTCAGAAAGTTGGGGCCGTATGCTCAGAGCACATTAAGGTAAGTCTAAAGTAAATGAATGTGGGGTTGCAAGACATGGTAGTTATTTAAAAATTGTAACAGTTTTTATTTAGGCAGCATTTTCTCCTGAAATCTACTAACAAAGTCAACCCAAAAAAACCCAAAATGAAGTAGGAAAAAGAAGATAAGGGGGGGGGGGGATAGTTAAGCTGAGATATGCACAACAGAGATTATGCCAGGTAACAGGCTAAAACATACCACAATTTGGATTTATGTGCTATTTGGATTCTGACTTGGGTCAGATTACGATTAAATAGCTGGTGTTCAATATATTTGTGAAGAAGTGCATCTACGGATGACAATTGGAGGAATTCTCTTATTATTCTCCTACCAAAGAGGAAAGTAGCAAGAATTAATGCAAAAACTACAAGGGAATTCACTTGATAAATGTTCCCGGAAAAGGTATTTGGTAAAATTTTGGTTGTTACTTTGTGTTTTTGCTCAGTGAGCAACATTTGGGAAGCACAGTGAAGCCAGAGAGTGTGCAGACTAGATTAATGTTCTTGATGTCATTAAGCGTCATTGAGCATGAATGTGAAACTGAAAGCTACTGTGTGTGTGTGTTGAGTTAGGAAAGTGCGTGATGAAATGAATACTATAGGCTTGAATTATGGAATGTCTTGTATATTTATGCAGTGAAAGGATGATTGGTGAAGGCAGTTAAGAGTGATATATGATGGAAGTAAAGCATGTGTGAGAATAAATAGAAAGTTTAGTGAACAGTTCAACACTGAGGAGAGGGTAAGACAAAAATATGTGATTTTCCATGGTAGTAGTGGTTGGGGTGTGTGTGCATAAGAAGGGGAGGGATTTGTAGTAGTATGAATGTGTTTTATACACAATGTCATATTGTTGACTGAGAACCCTAAATGATTTGCTGTGGCTGCTAGACTGCATGATGCAGTCAGCAATGTTAGAAATAAATGTATTGATGTAGTTGGCATTTGAATGGACAATTACAAGAGCAAAAATAACCCAGAACAAACAGATTAATTTTTGTAGTATGGTAGAATGAGAAAGAATAGAGAAATTTTAAAAGAAAGATAATTCTCACTTAACACCTGTTTGAATTAACAACAGCCTCAGAAAGGTGGCTTCCAGCCATCATAAAACATTGTACCACTACCACCACATACACACCCGCTGTCACCTGATTGTGATCTGGGCACTTTGCAATCCACTTGCACTTACAACCAGTTGCCAGATGCCCCACAATCATGTGATCGCCGTTCGTAATTTCCTTGTGGCTTCCCCAGAAAGTCCATGCTTTCCTCTAGGACAGGGGTAGGCAACCTTGGCTCTTTTATGACTCGTGGACTTCCTCTCCCAGAATTCTGGGAGTTGAAGTCCACGAGTCATAAAAGAGCCAAGGTTGCCTACCCCTGCTCTAGGGTTTCAGCAGGGAGGTTTTTCAGACCCTGGGCAGAGAGATATTGGTATGTAGCTTGTGCTATGTCTCCCCCCGCCCCAGGCACCTTGCATTCCTTACCTGGGATTCTGTTTGCTTAACAGTCTGCAAATCCACTTAGCAACTGCATCCATTAGTGCTGAGACTTTAGTTGTTGAGCAAAGCAGTCATGTGACATCTGACTTACCGTAATCAGCACTTTGCTCAATGACTGAGATTCTGGTCCCTATTGTCATTAAGGGACAACTACATGTAAACAAATGCTGGTAGAAAAATAGTGGGTAGTGTATCGTTTGTTGCAAGGAATTCATGCTTGTTTGAAGAAGAGAAAATGTATAAAAGATTACAGGTAGTCCTCAACTTACAACCATTTATTTAGTGACCATTCAAAGTTACAATAGAACTGAGAAAAAGTAACTTACACTTTTCACACTTACGACCATTGTGGCATCCCCATGGTCACATGATCAAAATTCAGATGCTTGGCAACTGACTCATATTTATGACGGCCCCGGGATCATGTGATGACCTTTTGCGACTTTCTGACAAGCAAAGTCAGTGGGTAAGCCGGATTCACTTAACAACTTAGTTACTAACCCAACTGCAGTAATTCACTTAACAACTTTGGCAAGAAAGGTCATAAAATGGGGCAAAACTCACTTAATAACCATCTTGCTTTACAATGGAAATTTTAGGCTCAATTCTGGTTGTAAGTCGAGGTTTATCTGTGCTTCTACCCACTATATTATTTGGCGAGACACGTCGAGACTTGTCGAGAATGAGACATGTCAAGAGGAACTTACTCTTAAGTTGAATGCAGCAGAGCTAGGTTATTTCCGAAACATCGGTGTTAATACAGGAGAATAACTCAAGAACAAATAAGTGAGAAATGTAGGTACATTAAATACAAAAGCGTTGGTATCTGAAAAAATAAATACACGAAGAAAGAGTGAATGGGTCAAGGAGAAGCAGAGGCCATAAGTCACACTTGGATAAAGTTGATAGGCTAGGAGCCCAGAGTTACCTTATTGGTGAGAGGGGCAACATATAAATTTAATAAATAAATAAACAGAAGGCAGTGAGTGAAGTAAAGCGCGTGATAGAAGGAAGGAAAGTTTACAAGCATCAAAAAGCATAGTGGAAAATGTTGAAGTATACAGGCTTTTGGACTGTTCTTCGTCTGGATGTATTGCTCATATGTTTATATTATTATACCTTTATACATTTATTCTTGCATACATGGTGTAGCTCAACTCTTGATATAACTATAATTTGTGTTTTCATTTTACAGGCTGATACAGTTATTACATTATGGAAAAATGGGTTTACAGTAAATGAGGGTGAACTCCGAAGTTACACAGATGTTGCAAACCAGTGCTTCTTGGATTCCATTAAAAAGGGGCAAGTCGGCTTTGTATTAATTTAGTTTGCACATTACGCTCTATAATGACTACCCAGTTTGGGCAACATGGTGGATGCATTGTCTACTCAAAAGGTGCATCAATGCAAATTATTTTTTTTAAAGGGTACCCCCTTTCTGAGATATGTGAAAGACAAACTAATACAATGGCATTCTATGTTTATTTGTAATATATTTGCTGAATAGGTGGGCTGTTTCAATGGCCATAATATGATATGCTGACGTTTAAATTCAAACCTGGTCTTGTGGTATATGGAGATGCTTCATTATTGTACAGTATATGGGAAAAAATGGGGAGAAAAAGCTGAAACCAAAACGTTGGACTGTGACATACAGGCAGTCCTCGACTTATGACCACAATTGAGCCTGAAGTTTCCATTGCTAAGCAAAATAGTTGTTAAGCGAGTTTTGCCCCTTTTTACAAATTTTTTTGCTACAGTTATTAAGTGAATTACTGCAGTTGTTAAATTAGTAACCCAGTTGTTAAGTGAATCTGGCTTCCCCATTGACTTTGCTTGTCAGAAGGTCGCAAAAGCTGATCACATGACCCTGGGACGCTGCAACTGTCATAAATATAGGGCCAGTCGCCAAGCATCTAAATTTTGATCACATGACCACAAGGATGCTGCAGTGGTTGTTAACTGTGAAAAACAATCATTTTTTCAGTACCATTGTAACTTCAAACAGCCACTAAACAAATGGTTTAAGTCGCAGACTACCTGTATTGGTTTCAAGTAATCAAAACAATAGTCTCTGTGTTTCAAATACAAATATAGACATGCTCTGTATTTCTCTTAGAGAGATGCCTCTTGAGTTACAGAAGATCTGTGACAAAGAAGAGGTGGATGTGAAGATGGATGATAAGAAGGATGAGTTATATACGTCGCCGAAGGCAGTATTTCATCCTTTTTCTGGACCAGGATATCGGTTAGGAAGGTGAGGCAGCTTCATTCTTTTAGTAATTGAAACTGGCTTGTGAAATGAATGAAGGTTCTCCAGCAAGTGATTTCTGAAGAGACAACTTGAGCCTTTCTGTTTTTTCCCACCCTATGGGACAGTGAGGCTTTGGTATGTCCCATTGGTGGAGTCTCCGTCTCCTGTCCTGGAGAAGGGGCGTTGGTCTTACCTGAACGCCTTTTCTCAGTACGGAGACGGAGACTCCACACCCACCCTAGGGTCAGCTAGACCATTTGTGTTAGGGTGCTGAGAGCCAATGCCTCGTCAATCTTCAAACGCTTCGCCCTCGTCTCCGTCTCCTGTGAGACGAGGGCGAAGCTTCTCCTCTGCTTCAATCCTATGCCTGTTTACTCTTGAGTAAATCCCATGGCAGGTGTAATGTGAATAAGACGGCGCCTGCATTTCTAGATTTTGAAGAAGACTTCCCTTAGGTAGTTCTCATCTTACAACCACAACGGGAACCAGAATTTCTGTTATCAGGCTTGTTATGTTAACTGTTGCCACAATACCTGATTTTACAACTTTTGCCATGGTTGTTAAGTGAATCACTGCAGTTATTAAGCGAATCACAGGGTCATTAAGCGAATCCAGCTTCTCCCATTGATTTTGCTAGTGGGAAGGTGGCTGAGAGTGTCACAAATGGTGGGTCACATGACCCTCAGATGCTAAAATCATTGTAAATATATCCCGGTTGCCAAGATTCTGAATTTTGATCACGTGACCAGGGGGATACTAAGATGGTCATAAGTGCAAGGACCAGTCGTAAGTAACTTTTTAGTGCCATTGGAAGTTTGAACAGTCACTAAACAAATAGTTGTAAGTCAAGGACTACCTATACAGAACATTTGCTTCAAATTTGGAACTGAAAATATTGCTGCCTTTCTACTGAATATCCTATCTTAGTACAAAATAACCAGTTTAATAATATTGATAAATGAAAGAGATGCAGGAATATCAACAAGAGTCATAATAATAGTCCACTTATCCCTCTCATTAAGTTACCCATCAGATAAATTCCCTTCAAATTGTACAGCATAACTGTTCACATGGTATCTTAGCATCCTTCCTTAATATTAATTGTCTTTACCTTATTGATAATCTTACTTACCTTTCCCTAACCCAAGGCTGGCTTGGGAATTCTTAGAATGTCAACAAATCTAGAAGACATCATGTTGGAGAAAACTGACATAATTTGATGTCCTCGCCATTATATTTCAGGATATATGGAATTCTATTCATATTGAGTCATTGTAGAGATCTCTGCTGGGTTTTTTAAAATTTTGCCATGTATCCCTTTGTAAATATAGCATACTGTTGTAAGAAGGAAAATAATGGCCCTAAACTCTCCACTCATTGAATCTATAAGAAATAAGTTAGAGCCTGCAAGCGTGTTGCTCTTTGAGAGTAAAGTTATAGTTCAGCAGAATGGAAATTACATGTTCAAAAATCTTCAACAGGTGTATCAGACTTATAAGAATCTTACGATTCAATGTAATAAAATAAGGTATGTTGCCATATTACTACTTCCATGCATTTGAATTCCATGTTTTATTTTAAAGATAAATATCCTACTTTCAGTTAAAAAAAAACCAAAGTGAAAAACCAAATCTTAAGATAAGAAGGGGTAAAAATAATGAACAAATACCATTCTCTCTAAGAGAGATTAGATAATGTTTTTATTTGAACTAGGATAATTATTATGTAGTGGAGGAAGAAATAAGAGAGATTTGTGAAAAAATTAATGATTTATTAGATTAAGAATTAGAATATATCTGGAAATATTTGAATGTTATTGTTAGAATATTATGTGTATTTTAGAAAGGGTACCTGAAGTGTTAATAATATGTATATTTAAGTCTAATTGGATTATGGTAATTGTAAATTAGTAAAGCTTAAAAACAGGATTTGGATTTATATAAAGGTAATCTAGAAACGGACTATTTTAAATATGTTATACTATTTGAGGGAAACAGAGAGGGAACGTCTAATGTATTAATTTGAGTTATATATATATGACTTTGTTTTTTGATGATTGATTACCTCATCACCACGGTGGTTTCTAGAGCACCTCGGTGTAAAAGTTAAAAAACCAATAAAACTTGTTTAATTAAAAAAAGAGAGAGATTAGATTATTCCATTTAAAAAAAGTAGAACCGCCCAAAGGTTCCACAGATTGTTCACTGATGTGCACATTATGCTGAGATTTTAGTTGTCTAAACATGCTTTACTAAATAAAACACAGTTGGATGGGTTCACAATAACAGTTAATTCCCAACCAACCACATGTTGGCTTAGGCAACCTTTCTCAGCCCTCTCTCTGAGTTTCTTTTTCAGCCTTAAATATACTTTTTTGCTTTCCAGTCAATATGTTGCTGCCTCTATGATAATGAAGTCTCAACCCTATTACATTTGCTTAATTTCAAGTATTCTGTAAAGATACTGTTGTTATTAATTTTTATATGTTGGTAATATTTAGCTACGTAGCTCATAAAGGAGAAATTATCTAGAATGAAGTGGCATTATAATCTCATACGATTAAAACTTTATTTTCCAGTGCTACACCTAGAATAATCTCCAAAGTAAAAAAAAAAGTTGAAGAAACTGAAAAGAGAAAACCAACAGTAGTGCTAAGTAATTCAGAACCTATCACTAGAATCCAGATTTGGTTAGCAGATGGAGCAAGGATAGTACAAAACTTCAATATTTCTCATAGGTAAGAATAGATCACATTAACAGAATTCATTTTTTACAATATACTGTGCAGTTTACAGGATATTTGCTTCCTTTCAAGAGAAATTACAGCCCACCAAACTATTCCTAAGAATGTTTACTTAGAAATGAAATCCTACTGCAACCGTTAGGGCAGACTTCCAAGAAAGTATTAGATTACAACCAAAGTGCCTTTAAAACATTGATTTGTTTTGAATACTGAGCCATGAAATATGTTAGCTTTTCAACATTAGCCATGGACAAAACCTAGATAAATATTTTAAAGTATATATGAAAATGATAGTGTTAAGCAAAGTGGTACACCCATTATGACATAAATGAGCCTCAGTGCATGCTGCATTCATTTTCCATTCACTTCACATTGAATCAAAGCATCAAAACTTTGGGGAAATCTTATGTCAGAATAGATTGCCTTGGCAAGATTCTTATGTTAGGTTTAGTTTGCTTAGCCCTAATTTGTTAAATAAGCCACAGCTGCAATCCAAATTACTGTAAGGCAAAGCTGTTTTGATTTGTGTCCGGTTAATGAAGTTGTATTTTTGCTTTTTCATGCTTGAGACTGACTGGATTTGATCCAGTATTGCAAAATATTGTATTTTTAAACTGTGTTTCTCTATGTTACTTCAATGGGAATTATTTCTGAGTAGACATCTATTGGATTTCTCTATCAGTTCACTAAATATCGAGACATATAAATGTTATATTTCTCATTTTTCCTTCTCTTTATATCTTACATTATGCAGGAAAGGTGATTTTTAATTAATATGGATTGTGTGACATATAGAAATACATGGCATTAGTGGAGTTGCATTATTCCAGACTGATGATTTTTCTCTAAGATGTTAGTGCATTGTTTCCCGATTATGTCAATTTTGACGCATGTTGACTTCAGTTCCTAGAATTGTCATCAATGGATATGCTGGCTGTAGAATTCTGGAAGTAGAAGTCCACATACCTCAAAATTGCCATGATTGGGAAACCAGTGAATAAACCGACTCTCTGACTATAACAGTGATGGCGAACCTTTTAGAGACCAAGTGCCCAAACTGCAACCCCAAACCCACTTATGCATTGTTGGGTGCCGGGTGGGTGTGGCCAATTGGGTGGGTGTGGCCAATTGGGTGGGCGTGGCTGCGGTGGTAATGGCAGACTGGATGGGACTAAAAAGTTCAATCAATCAATTCCAACTTTGCAAGATCTTTTTTTTCCCCGCGAGAAGTTGAAATTTACTCATTGACTGAACCTTTTTTTTTCGCACACGGCGTCGGAGGCCTAAAGCGAAAAGGTTTTATAAAACACAGTTGAAGGCCTAGGACTGGGGGAACAGCACGTGTGCCCACAGAGAGGGCTCTGAGTGCCGCCTCTGGCACCCTTGCCATAGGTTTGCTACCACTGGACTATAAAGAACAATCCATACTTGGTTTTTCCAAACCTGCTGTCCTCCATATACAGGACACTAAAGCTCCTGCATAGAACAATAACTGATATAGAACAACAGGCTGGGAGAGGCTATCCTACCCCCTTTAGTATCTACAGAAAAACTGTAGATTTGGGTTAGAGCACTTCTTTTCATGATATCGCACACAGTCAGAAAAAACTGAACAAATTTATTCTTACATCACCATGATTTTTTATACTTAATACACCATAAAAGCCATGGTGACACAGTGCTTAGAATGCAGTATTGCATGCTAACTCTGCCCACAGCCAGGAGTTTGATCCTGACCAGCTCCAGGTTGACTCAGCCTTCCATCCTTCCGAGGTCGGTAAAATGAGGACCCAGATCAGACATGTCAAACTCGTGACGTCACGTGACGTCGCACGATGTATCAGAGCTTTTCCTCCATTGCCGGCAATGGAGTGGGCGCGCAGTTTCGTCGTGACGCATCCGGCCTGTGGGCTGGCAGTTTGACACCCCTGACCCAGATTGTTGGGGGGCAATATGCTGACTCTGTAAACCGCTTAGAGAGTGCTTTAAGGACTATGAAGCGGTATATTAGTCTAAGAATGCTATTGCTGTGAAAGAAGTTAGTTTGGGAAGAACAAGGCTGCACAGCTTAAAATGTGTAATGACAAAAGTAGTTCAAAGTGCTAGTTATAGGAGAACTTAACATATGCCTATATGATGTTTGTGAAGGTCCTGATTTGCTCAAAACCTGTTTTTTTCTAATTGCCATGACTCCGTGACATTGTTCTTAAAAAAAAAAGATTTAAAATATCAGACTTTAATTTTTGTTCTTTTCCATTTTAGAATAAGCCACATCAGAGACTTCATAATTGATTACCAGAGACATCAAGGAAGGAGACCTTTCACCCTGACTACATCACTTCCTTTTCAAGAGTTGTTGAATGAATCTCTCACACTAGAGGAAGCCAACTTAAAAAATGCTGTTGTTGTGCAAAGACTTAAAAATAATATTGAACCTTTCCGGAGTTTCTCTTCCTAGCATTTTCTACCTAAAAGAAAGAACAGTTGCAGGAAAGGTCTTGGAAAAGTGGAAGACAATATCCACACAATAGGTCCCCAGTTGTGACTCTTTTAATGTAGAACATCCAACTGTTAGTTGAGTGATTTTAGCTGAATCACTTCCACTTATGAATAGCAGTAATTTCTGTGTTTTATGTGATATCTACAGTGCTGCTTTGAAAGGGCGTGCAATATATGCTGCACTAAAGCTACCCCAAAGTTTTTTGTTTGTTTTAAATAGCCTGGCAGAAAGTAGTAGAGCCAGCCCTCCTGAACTCTGGGTATTCTGTCACCAGTAAAGGAACATTTTAGGGAAAATCTTGAACACTTCTGTAAGTTTGAAGTTGAAAAAAATTTGAAAGCACAATTTGACTTCATTCTTTACTTGTATATGTTATAGTTAGATATATTTTATTCTATCAATGCTACTGTTTGATAGTGACACAAATTAATATATAAATTTCATATATACAGAAAAATACCACAGGTAAACAGTCTTTAAGCATAATGACTGTTTCTTTTGAAAAATTTGTCTCCCAAGTTTATGTTTTAGGACAGTGGTGGCGAACCTGTGGCACGGGTGCCAGAGGCGGCACTCAGAGCCCTCTCTGTGGGCACGCGCATAATCGCCCCAGTCCTAGGCCTTCAGCTGGGTTTTATAAAACCTTTTCTCTTTAGGCCTCCGCCGCCATGTGCAAAAAAAAAAAAAGGTTCAATCAGTCAATTTCAACTTCTCACGGGAAAAAAAAGTTCTTACAAAGTTGGAATTGATTGATTGAACTTTTTAGTCCCACCCAGTCTGCCATTAGCACTGCAGCCATGCCCACCCAATTGGCCACACCCACCCGGCACTCGACGATGCATAAGTGGGTTTTGGGTTGCAGTTTGGGCACTCAGTTTCTAAAAGGTTCGCCATCACTGTTTTAGGATATCAGAGGAGCAAATGACTAAAGCAGCATCATGTCACAAGCTCTTTCATATGTATGTATACACACACACATATGAAAGGATCATAGCTTATGATGTGATTTTGCTTTTACTATTTTAACAAGTGTGTATGCTAGGGACGTCTGACTGTACATGTGGACATAATTCCGCATGTATTAACTCCACTTTAATTATATGGGCATACCTCTGGATAGACCTAAATTTCAATTGCATTTTATGCCATTAAAAAGAAATACAATATCTGTAGTCCCGAATTATTTATTTAGAACTAAGCTCTACTGCTTTACTTCTGAGGAATGGTTCGATTGTTAGTTTTGAGACTGAAGCAATAAATAAGGATTCTGCCTACTATATCAGAAACAAAGTTCAGCTTTAATAGGCAAGCCTTCTGCCTCTTGGCTTCCTAAATAAAAGCAAACTTTGAGAAGATATTTCAAGCAACCATTAAGAAATGAAGCTGATTTAAGTGCAGTATTAGGGCTGCATGTTTGAATTGATTCAAAGGCAGATGGTTTAGCATAAAATGCAGAGTTTTCATCATTTAAAATGTGTTGGTAGATGACCAGATCTGGACTAGGAAGCTAAGCAAGATCAGCCTTGGTTACAACCTGAATGGGAAGCTGCTAGGAAATCCCAGAGGTGTAGGGTAGGCTGTGAATTTAAGAAACAAAATCCCCTAAAGAAGAGGCAAATCAGTTCTGCACTGTAGCCAAAAATCTGCAAAGACACTTCTATGAAATTACCAGCTCAAACAGTAGTTTGTCGTTAAAAAGGTATTTCTAATGATTTTAGAGTTTTTAATCCTGTTGGTGTGATGAGGTGAGGTTATCAAGTGGAACTATATTATTGAGTCCTCCTATCCGTAAGATTATTCTAATTATTCATTTATTACACCTAACATTTTTAAAATGCTGGATGTAGAAGAAACATTAATAGTCCCTTGAAAAATTCTAATCCGGTCTGATATCCAAAGGAAAAGGGGATAAGGAAATTGGGCAGAATCCTAATTCTTCATAGCTGTTGATCAGGAGAAATGGCCTGGAGGAGGAGGCAAGTCAGAGTTGGGCTAACTTACACCGGAGAACGCACCTTACCTTCTGTGCATAACTCAAAGATCTATATTCCAAAATGTCTTGCTCTTGGATACCCAACAAGGTCACTTTCGGAAACAATAAGAACAGCACCTTGGGATTTGAACCTGGGTCCTGCCATGCTAGCAGGAAATAGAGCTGAATAATTAAGTCTGCCCCTGCTATCATCTTCATTTTTTTTATTAAATTAAAGAGTATAAGCCAGTTTTGCAGCTGGGACATTTTTTTCTTTGAGATCCATCTCAGAAATAAGGCCTCCTTTCTCCCACCTGTGCTGCAACAAAGGCATCAAACAAATTATAATACTTATTGCACTTTTTTTTAATACTTCAGAAAAGGGATTTTACCATCAGGATATATTACTTGGCCTTATTTGTGAATTCCATTGTTTGTTGGGCAAAAGTATTTTTTTTTTTTTACATGGCTGGATATGCATCCAATTTAAATTTTTCTCCCTTATTGTGGTAGGCCTCTTATGAACTTTGACCTGTAACTTAAGAATGATATGTGAACCTAGCTGGTTTTGGCTAACTTATTAAATCATTATTGAACAAATCCTAGCCTAGCAAAGTATACATCCAGTATTTTTCTGTCTCTAGACAACTATGTTTTATGTTACCCAAATCTTGTGGGGTTGCCTTTTTTAATCCTTTTCCTACACTTTTTATTTTAGTGTAAGTTATGATGGCCTGCTAATGATTGATAATGGTGCAGTGGGCCTTGTTGGATAGCCAAGGGGTTTCTTACATCCAAGGCTAAACGTCAGAGACGCTGCTAGATTCAAACTAAGTATAATGCTTGGGGTTTTTTTAAATTGAGCCAATTAATAACCCAAAGTAAAGCAAAATAAGGCTTTGTGTGGTATATGATCTGGGTCTTTATCATCTGCAAATTACCTCTAGCTAGTGACCAAGAGGAGGACCTAAGAGTCCAAGCTGACTAATATCATCCTTAGACCAAAATGAGTTTGAAGCATTCTTTTAAAAATATTTTTATATATGGATTTGTGTGCCTATTTTTTTTAACTGGTTAAATGTTTTACCACAGAACTAGTTGATAATAAATGTTATGATCCTCTAAGTTCATTTTTTTTTTTGCAAAAAGCAATATGGAATATAATTTGAAATGGTATATAATTTCATTTCTATTAGTATCTTCTTTTGTGTAAGAATTGATTTTACTGATGCAGACCAATGGGGATTTTTTTTATTAATAAATTCCTGCAATGAAATAAATCTAAACATTCTTTAAAATCATTAAAACTTTGCGAAGTTCACAGACCTTCCCTACTTCTGTGTGAAATAGATTGTCTTTGTGAACAGACTGTTAACACATGCAGATAACCACTTAAAAATGAAATATGCTTGAAATCTCAACAGCAATATGCTAACTTGTATATCAGCATATATAAAAACATGCATCATACAATTCAGTATGTGTAGGTCCCTGTTTCTCAGGAAACTGAAAGGTCATCTCTTTTGATGTGCTATACCTTCTATACATTGTTTAAAAACTGAAGGCATAAAACTCTAACAGCACAGAATAATGTGGAGTATAAAATTAATCAGTATAGAATGCTGATGTCTTCTATTTCTGGTTCTGTATGTTTCTCAAAATAACTGATCTTTACATCTTGTTTGATTTTATCTACACATTGTTCATCAATATACACATGTAGAAATGAATCTATTGACTGGAATGCAATGTATCTATGTATTAATTTCAACCAGGACGTCTCATCAAAAACATCCACTTCATTTAAATTAAAAACCATGTATGAGATACAATTTCATAGTATGCTACTACATTGCTTTTTTGGGTTTTAGAATAATCAAATCCGCAAGTATTCAGTAAAAAAGATTTCCCCTGCTTTTTCAAGTTATCCTTTTTAAATTAAAATGAAGAATGCATTGAAAAGCAACCTTAATGAGAAAAAAGCAACTCAAATTTCCTTAAGAAGTAATCTATGAATAATGCTGTTTAGAAAATGATCTACATAATGTTTCACTGAGGTCAATTATCAGTCATAGCCATACCAGCATCCAGATCTTGCAATTTTTGGGATGCAATGGTTAACCAATGGTTAACCAAGCTGAAAAACCCGACAGTCCCTGCGCTTAATCCCAATTGAGAAGGGGCAAAGAATAATCTGTTTCAGATTCGGTATATTTCCAACACAAACGGACTGCCACCATTAATAAATGTGGAATTGAGATTTGCTAACCTTACCCCAAAGCCTAATAGTACTATGAAGTAATCATACTTAGTTGGGAATTAGATATCCGTACAGGTTAAACTGAGAATTGTTCCTATTTAAAAATATATTTTCAAAGTTCCGTTTTACACTTATTTTCCGTACAAAACCGAATTGGGAAGCTGAAGCATGGATGTAAAACAGGCGGTTTGTATTCGTAGTGGAATTTTTTGTAGTTAGAAGTTGACATTTGAAGAGAAATATTAAAAAGTTTTTAAAAAAAATATTTTGGGTTATTTCCGCGATAATACAACTTCACATTTGCAAGTTCTTAAAATGTGAAGTACAGTATTTACCCGATGGAAATATGGAATGTAATTTTGAACTAGTCACTTCCCCTTCAAAGAAAAGAAAAACTACGTCTGCCCCGTTGCAATATATTGTTAGAAAATCTCGTCTTTCCAATTTTGAAAGTGAGTAATTTAGATTGGGGGGGAGAACACCTCGGTAGTTTTAATTTCTGGGGAATACCTATATACAAAATGCCTGAGATGCAGCGTATTTAGTTTACATTTGTAACGCAACACAGTACCATAACACATCCAGACGGCCGCCAAGTCTTTCCTGTAAGCGCGGGAAAAGCACGTTTGAAATGATTTAAGGTACCATTTGCGCTGTAATGTCTAAGTCCCGCTTTAGGCACGAAAGCCGGCTGGGTGACTTTGGGCCGGTCCCTCTCTCTCAGCCTAACCAACCTCGCAGGGTGGTTGTTGAGGGAAAATAGGAGGAGGAAGGTGTGTTGGATAAGTTCGTCGCCTTGAGTTATTTATAAAGGGGGGGGGAGAAAAAAACTTTTGTATTTATACCGTGTATTTAGTCCATTTATTCAGTGAAGGCGAAGGTCACATGTCACGCAGCCACTACTGCAAATGGTGTACTGTACTTCGCCGTGAACCCAGCCCCCGTAGCTTGCATTCCAATCGTTGCATCTTCCTGCAAATTAGTCCCAAAATGAAATGCAATGAACTGCGCGTCTGCACACCTAGACCGCGATTCAGAAACGACGGCAGGTTTGCAAACCCGCCAACCGGATTCCCGGTTGCGCGAACCCACCCCGCATGTCCCGGGATGGAGTGAAATAAAACAGCATCAGACGGGCAGCCTGCGCTTAACGGGAGAAGGGGACGTTTTGGGGCTCCGTTGCAACCCATGCTTTCGCCCGGGGCTCTGAGCTTAAACTGGAAGCAAACGGCTACTAAAGCGCGTTGCAGGCTGTGTATCCCGCCCAGAAGACGCGCGTCCGACACGAGTTTCCTTCTCCGCAGTACAGGAACGTTCCATATCCTACCGAACGGGTCGAGAAGGCTCTGGGCAAACTGCGGGCAAAGCGGTGCGCTTTTCAGTGCTCTCCAGACAAGGCTCCCTCCTGCGATCGGTCCCGCCCCGGATTATCAAGTGCCGAAAAGCTGGCGGCAGAAAGGTGGAGGGGCTACTCTCTGAGCTGGGATGGCAGGTGTTGGAGCAAAAGATCCGCCACGGGGGCAACAAGGCAGGCTGTCTCCGAAGCCACCATTGCAGACGACCGGTCAGTCCAGCGTCTTTCAAGAGCCGGAGCCGGGGGCGTCTGTCGAAGGGGTGAGTCTCGCGTTCCTCCGACTTGCGTTCCTCCGCCCGGCTTCTCAAGGCATGTTCCCGCGCCTTTTCTTGCTGGGAGGGACAGGGGAGAAGCTTGAGGGTTGCCGTCGTGCTTCTCCGAATCCCTTCCAAAACGACAAAGGAGCAGGTGTAAGTTCCGACGTCCAGGAATCCTTAGAGTCCAAGTGGCTTCTAATGTAGATCTCTTGGCAACTGTATGAGATTCATCATTGCCTTCCTCCATAATGCTTTTTTTTTTTTACTTCTTGATCTGGCCCGTAGTTCCTGGTGGTTTCCCATTAATGGACTAAATCTTGCTTAGCCTTTTGGGGAGTACAGTAGATATTAGCTGGACATCTGATAATAGGAGATAAGATATGCAGCAAGAAAAGAGGTTGGTGGAATGATGGAATTCTTCAAGTACAGTATCAAAACACTGTTACCTAAGGGAGGCAAAAGCTTTATCTTGGTTCTCCCACAGTGCAGAACTAAACTGAAGTAGCTTCAGCTGTAAGAGGGTAAATTTTAGATAAACTTTAAAATGAATAAAAGAGGTGATAATGGAAGTAGTTCCCAGTGATGCCCTTCCTTGACCAGAGGTTTTGCTGGCCCATCTATTGGTGAAATATGCCTTCTGAAGAGCAGAGCATTAGCCCCCCTCCATTTTGGTGGCATCATTTCCAAGGGGGCTAAACCATAAAGCTTACAGTGTCTACAGTCACCCTACGTTATTAAACCAAGGTGAAACAAGCATATTATGGCTTGGTACAATAGATAACTCTAGGTATTATCCTTCAGAAGAGTGCACGATGATGGTGGGGTTATTGCAGCTGAATAATAAAGACCAGGAGTGATGTCTTTTGGGGAAGAAAAAGAAGTAGGAACTTTCGGTCTCTGGGTTTTTTCTCTCTCCATGATGGCAATGCATATTAGGATGAAGTTCATCCTAGAAATGATATAAAAACAAGTGTATCTTAAAACTTCAGAACTATAAAAGGGGAAAATCATTGTCCTTTTCAGGAATTCAAGAAATATGCATTAAGTTAAACCAGGTCCTTGTATCAGTAAAGATAATCATGTAAAAAGTTTGCTTTTGACTAAGCATAGTCATTGTGATGTGTTCCACCAATTATGGTTACATAAGCGTGAACCAGGTCACAGTCTACGATCCAGGAATAAGCCAGTTTGAATGCTGGGAATTTCAGTGAATTAGGTTAATAATTATGAGGAAGGTGGTGTTATTTAGATCTCAGCAAGAGGGTGACAAAGAAAATTATACTGTACTGTATTGGAATTTAAATTTTTTTTCTAAAACTGTTTTCAATAAGCTCTATTAGAATTACTAACTCCCCATTTCATATAGGCAAACTATAGATTATATATTTAAAACTCATTTGCAGCTTTTTTTTTTAAGAAAGTTGCCTTTGTATTGTGAGTTCATGAAATACTTTCTTAAAGATGAATGCTCAAAGAAAATGCCTACAGGCATTAGTGATAAGGCTGGTCTAGAATTTTATCTGACAGCTCCATATTCTGTTGTTCCTTCCAGCCCTGACTGGACCAGTCTGATAATAATGAAGGAGTAGCTGCATTAGCAATTTCTAATTCATGAATTGTTCTTCATTTTATATATTAAATGGAGTTTGTTATTTGTCGTTCAGCTATAAAATTCAAATACACACACACATACAAACACATATATTTAGGCTAATGTAGTTTTACTTTAAAGCATCTTTCGTTATTCCCCACCTCTCTGTTAGCCCACTATGCTCTTTTCAATATTCTCCATAATGGGGATTTATTCTGACACAAACTTGTTCCTTATAGGTTTGAGTGAGGGATGCCTTTTCATATTATAACTCCTTTGAAACCTCTGGCTGACTTGTAGCAGGATTCTCACATTCCACAAAAATCAAAAGTGGTTGATTTGGATTTATCATTTTGTGGACTCAAAATAAATATGAATATGATGAAACGTGGTGTGAATATGAAAAGCATGGTGAAAAAACCTTGGTTTAATGCAAACTAGAGTAATGACTGGCTCATGCTGAAGTTATCCCATCAAATGATGGTGGTTTGGATTAATGCAACATATGAAGCCACAGCTCACAATGCTGCCCTGAGTAGTCTTTTAGCTTAGAACAATACTTCAAATAAGTTATGCCAAACTATTATGCTATACCATGGTTTGCTGAATAAATTAGATGGTTGGATTCACGCAGCACACAGCCATAGTTGAGCCCAAAATTTCTGTGGCTAAGTGAGACAGTTGTTAAGTGTGTCTTAGCCCATTTTATGACCATTTTTGCTAGAGTTGTTAAGTGAACTATTCCAGTTGCTCAGTTGGTAACCCGGTTGTTAAGTGAATCTGGCTACCCCATTCACTTTGCTTGTCAGAAGATTGCAAAATGTGATTACGTGAGCCTGGGCACTGCAATTGTGATAAATATGAGCCAGTTACTAAATGCCTGAATTTTGATCACATGATCATGTGAAAAATGGTCATAAGTCACTTTTTTCAGTGCCATTATAACTTCAAACGATCACTAAATGAACTGTTGTAAGCTGAGTACTACTTGTATTTGTCTGGACCAATTCATTATGATTTATATATCACAATAAATGAGTTTCACAGAACCTTTCAAGCCACAAACAAGCAAATGCAAATGGTGTTTTGAATAAATTGAAGATATAACCCCTAATTAATGTATTCATAAATTGTGCTAAGGTTTCAAATGGTTGGTTTAATATTGGCTTAACATGTGGCACATACCTAAACCCTCCAGTTTGCAAACAAGCCACCCAGTAGTGGCTTATTCACAAACTATTATTCCAATCCTTACCATGATATGTGAATCAGCGAATGTGTTTTAAAAAGGGAACACAATCTCTTTCATTAGTTACAATAGGAAAGTACATGACATTTCACTATTCAAAGTAAAATAAATGACTGTTTTCTGTCCTTTATAACAAGCTCTAAATTGAATGCCTGAGTCTTATTGACTTACTCAGCCCAAAAGGGGTGGCACTAGTGCTGGTGGGATGCTCGGGGCGGCACGAGTGTCGAAGGGTGAGTGCACTGGCCATTCCTTCATGCGGCCCGGTGGCCAAGCCCCCGTGGCCCAGTAATGGGCCGCAGCCCACAGGTTGGGGACCTTTGCTTTATAAGTAGTTCTCGACTTATGAACACAATTTCTGTTAAGTGGATTTTGCTTCATTTTATGACTTTTCTTGCAGTTTTCACTACAGTTATTAAGTTAGTAACAGTTAAGGGAATCTGGTTTCCCCATTGACTTTATCAGAAAGTCGCAAAAGGCAACCCTATGACCCTGGGACACTGCAACCATCACAAATATGAGTCAGTTGCCAAGCATCTGAATTTTGATCACGTGACCATGGGGATGCTGCAATGGTCATAAGTGTGAAAACGGGCATAAGTCACTTTTTTCACTGCCGTTGTAATTTTGAACGGTCACTAAATGAATTGTAGCAAGTCGAGGACTACTTGTATGGCCAATTCCTTTTCAGTTTTCAATTTATTAAGTTTGCATCCTATATTTTAATTAAAAATAATATTCTACACTACACTATTTTTTCTTCAGATTGTCTTTTTAGGTATTATTTTATGGCCCATAGCATTTTCTTTTCTACAGTTGCATCACTGTTCCAGCTGCCTATCCCAGTCAGCAAGGCAATGCAGTACAATCAGGTTTCTTTTCCTAGAGCAGAACAACATATGTTGTGTCTGAGCAGGAGCCATTGCACGTGGCCATACCTGAACTTCTCTCAGTGCACTGCATAAAATGAAAACTTCAAGAACAGTTTTGAAAGCGGGCATAGGGGAACATGTTTCAGGCAGTATAGCTTAGCATTCCTGTCTTTGGTTAAGTACATAAGGTACAATCTCTCAAAAATAAAATGAAAAAGAAAAGGATGGAGATGTTTTTTTCTGCAGGATCCAATCTGGGTTGGTCACTGGAACCAGACCACCTCCGCCTAAACTGGACCCTAATTCCAACATTATTCTAACACACATACGTTTTTTCTGGACTATTGTAAATCTATAACAGCAATATCAGGATAATCTAGCTGCACATTGAAAATAATATTCAGAGCAACTTTACTTTTATAACTGTTTTGTTTATTTCTCTGTAAGTTCTTCTTTACATAAATAGCACTCCAATGAAAATTAAAATTACTTAATACCCATTTAACTAAGTACAAGAGATTTTATTGTGGGGAGGGCCAGGTGGATGTCCATATCAACAGAAAATATTAAATTCTTGAAATATATTATTGGTAAGATCCATTCCAGAATTCTTGATCAAGCAAAATACACAGAGAGAGAGGAGGGGGGGGAGGGAGGGAGGGAGAGAGAGAGAGAGAGAGAGAGAGAGAGAGAGAGAGAGAGAGAGAGAGAGAGAGAGAGAGAGAGAGAGAGAGAGAGAGAGAGAGAGAGCAATGAAAAATATACAACATTAATGGCCAGTTTTCAAGATATTCAGGTCTCTTTATCAATCTAAAAGTTAAGCAAGGTACAGTCAAAGTGAAGAAGAGAAGTGAGGAATGATTTGACAATAGTCAAAGTCTTTGTATTGCCAGATTTGTGCATTACATAGAAGGAGACATCACTTTTATATTGAATGGTATCCTGAACTTTCAAGAAATCCTTTGGTCTTTTCTCACCTTTTCAGCTTGCTCATGAAGACAAACTCTCTGTGTGCAGCAAACTATGCTATGGCATTGGAGGGGCTCCAAATCAGGTTGCGAGCAGTGCCACCTCATTCTTTCTGCAAATCTACCTCTTGGATATTGCTCAGGTAAGCAGTTTCGGAAACCTAAACTTGTCTTCAGATTCCAAAAATTATATGGTCAACCAACTCACTCTCAGTGACTCCCGGTGGCTTAAAAAGATATTGCCATCATTGGTCAGGTCTTGTGTGATAATTTAACATTAAATTCAGTTTAATCAGTTTTTCTCTTGATTCCACACTCGATAAGAAAAGCCACGGAAAGCAATTAAGATATGAATGGTTTAGTTTATATTATTTTACCCTCCCCCCCAAATTCCAGAATTTGTTTTGCCCTGCTTCCCATAAGGAGGTGATTATTATAAAGGTGAGTTTTTGATTCATAGAAACTATTTTATTTATTTATATCCCACCTTTCTTATTTTATAAATAAATCAAGGTGACAAACATAGCTAATGCTCCCTTTTCCTCCTGTTTTCTGCACAACAACCCTGTGAGGTAACTTGGGTTGAGAGAGAAGACTGGCCCAAAGTCACCCAGCCAGTTTTCATGCCTAAGGTGGGACTAGAACTCACCGTCTCTGGTTTCTAGGCCAGCACCTATACAGAGGTCCCCAACCTTTTGGGCACCAGGGACAGATTCCGTGGAGAAAGGTTTTTCCATGGACCGGAGAGTGCATGGTTTTGTGTGCTACCTCCATCCCACAGATGGGGCTTTGCTTGTTTGTGCGGACCGGTTGCTGGCATGCTGCAGACTGGTACCGGTCCATGGACCGGGGGTTGGGGACCCCTGCCTTAACTATCCTCTGAATATTCTATTTCTCTTTCCCATCACTTAGAAAGCAGAGGGAGGTTTATTCTCTTGATCTAATAAAGGAAAGTCTCCTTTGAATCATCTTTCACTGTCAGTGACTTCATGGGCCAATCATATAATTTTCATGCCAATAATACTGACGTGGTTTCTGTTGTATTTTTCTGTAACGTTTGTCCAATATTTTGAAAAACTATCTCCCAAATCATTGGAGTATGGATTCTATGACACCACACAAAAATCAAATGAAAATTGTCCACGGAGCACAATTCAAGATTTGCTGTCCTATTTCACGGACAATAAAAAAATCTTTTGGCAACCATTAGTAACAATTAGATATTTATTTAAATATGTGGAGCAAATTCCAGATGAATAAAATTATTTCAAACCAACAAAGTTTCTCATAGGACATCATAGTCAAAAACAAAAATGTTTTATACAGGTAGTCCCTGACTAACAACAGTTTATTTAGTAACAGTGGCACTGAAAAAAGTGACTTTTGACTGTTTTTCACACTTACAACCATTACAGCATTCCCGAGGCATAGCAACTGACTCATATTTATAAGTGTTGCAATGTCCTCAGGTCATGTGATCATCTTTTGCGACCTTCAAACAAGCAAATTCAATGGGGAAGCCAGATTCACTTAACAGCCACGTTACTAACTTAACAACTGTGCAAGAAAGGTTGTAAAATGGGCCAAAACTCACTGAACAAATATCTCACATAGGAACATTAATTTTGGGCTCAATTGTGGTCATAAGTTGAGGACTACCTGTACAAGAAGAAATATTGTGATTTGGGGAAGTTATTTAGCACTGATGGCTTCATTAGATAAGTATGTTGAGCTCAGATAAGTGCTACTTGGTTTTTCAGATCCCTCCATTCCAGGCCTCCTTGGTGCAGGTCATTGGCCGAGCATGTGGAGCAGCTGCAGATCCTCTTGCAGGCTTTTTTATTAATCGGAGCAAAACAACCAGATTCGGGCAACTCATGCCTTGGTAAGCAAAGTTGATATAGTTGCTTCATTGTTGATGGCTTAGAAGTTTCTTTAATGCATTCATTCACTTGCATAGTCTGTAATCCAGGTACATATTCTTGAATTTATTTGGCCTGGTTCATATACCGTATTTTCCGGCGTATAAGATGACTGGGCGTATAAGACGACCCCCGACTTTTGAGAAGATTTTCAGGGTTTAGAAAGTCGTCTTATATGCTGGAAAATACGGTACCATGTTAAACTATATTGGCTGCTTCATCTAAAATACTAAGCAATAAATCATGATTTAGAAATCACTATGACTTTTGACCAACATGTAAGTTAAAATCAAATAAATCAGATTTTATTCTTCATGAAAATGTGCATAAATTAATTTGCTGATTTTTAAAGTTCTAATTTTTTTAATTATAAGAGATTTGCTAGTATTAAAAATATTTGGATTTGTATGTGAAATGGTTATAGAGGAATCAGATCAGGAAGTCTGATCCTATTATAGATACAGGAACAGTTTTTTCCCCCTTAAATTCAATTCAAAAATGTAAATTAGAAATCTAATACAAAAATTTATTTAATCGTTTAGAAAAGGAAAAATAGATGACAAATCTTTCCAAATCTTATCTCGCAAGAAACTGAACATTTCTTAAGATAATGTGATTGATTGATTGATTATGTGCCATCAAATTGATCTCAACTCTTAGTAATCAGATAGATAGATTTTCTCCTTGAAAATCAATTCCTTACTTGGTCTTCCAGGTTTTCCAATGGTGCATCCTTCACCACTATAACTAAGGCCATCCACATTGCTGCTCATCTTCATCTTCTCTTTCCTTCTACCTTTCCTAGCATTACAGCCTTTGCTACAGAACTAGATCTTTGGATAATGCATCCGCAGCAGGGTAATTTGAACCTGGTCATTTGTGCCTCTGGTGAGAACTTTGGATTTGGACAGGGCTTTTTTTCAGCCGGAACGCGGCGGAACCGCGTTCCGGCACCTTTTTCCGGGCCGGCCGCACCGGAAATAGCCCCTCCCAAATTTTACTTGCATTCCTGTTCTCTAAAGGGGCGGTCCTAGGGTTTGATGAGGGCGTGGCCAGGTTTGAGTTCCGCCACCTTTTCTCCGAGAAAAAAAGCCCTGGATTTGGATAAATCTATTTGTTTCTTTTCTAGATTGTCCAGAATATTATCTGAAGTTTTCTCCAATGGAAGGTTCTTTACCTACTTCTTCAAAGTCTAACTTTCATTTCCTCGGATGTCACAGGGAACATCATTGCTTGCACTCTTCTGCTCTTTGTAGGTATAGACCAGGGGTCTTCAAACATGGCCCTTTTATGACTTGTGGACTTCAACTCCCGGAATTCCTCAGCCAGACATGCTGGCTGAGGAATTCTGGGAGTTGAAGTCCACAAGTCATAAAAAGGCCAAGTTTGAAGGCCCCTGGTATAGACATATCAGAGTGCCTGAATATCTTTTTGAAGGCCTTTATGGCTGCTGTACAAAGTGAAAATGTGTGGTATATTTTGGGACTCCTCACTCCTTTACTCTTGATGATTGATCCTAAAAGGCAGAAGCTATCCACCCTTTCGTTTCATTGTAATTTCTAAGACTCCTTGTTGCACCTCTCACTATTAGTGAGATGTTCTGGGATTCCCATTTTTCTAAGTATATTCCACCATTTGATATTATTGATTCAATCCGACGCCTTTCTGTAATCAATGAAGCACATACTGATATTTCTCCCCGGCTTTGTTATTTATCTAGCATGCATCAAAAATAATGTTTTGTGTTCCTCAGCCTTTCCTAGAGGCAACCTGAACATCTGACATCTATTTGTAATATAGGATTCTAGTCTGTGTCAAACTAAGCCTTATTTTACTATCATGTGAAATTAAGGACATTGCATGATAGTATTATATACAATCTCCTAAGCCTCTTTTTTTTGTTTTGGTATTGGAATGTAGGTTGACTTCTTCCAATCAGTTGGTCACGGTGTCATGTGGCATAGCTTGCTTAGAAACTTTACTACCGCTTCTTCTGTTGCATGCCATATTTCTTACAGAATAGAATAAAATATTCTATAGAATGGAATTCTATAGAATATTGTAATTGGACACCCAGGGAATTTGCCTTTTAGCTTTTTTCAGATATGCACTTTCATTTTCTGTTATTCATTATACTTTTCTTCGTTGATTAGTTTATATTTGTATTCATATTCCAATCTCCTAGTATGGATGAAATTGGACACCCTTCCTCTTCAAATAAACTCCAAATGTTTGTAGTTCAGGCTAAAATACAGGGATCCCATAATGAATGAACTAATGATGAATATTCTTCTTTCAAAAAGAAGCTAATCCACAATATTTGTTATTCTGTTCACATAAGACTCTGTTATCTACAACTGATAATCTACACTGGGAGGAGAAAAAGTGTGCTACACAGCTAGACTTTAGCATTATCGTGGTTAACTGTTGTCTTATCAGCCTTCTGCAGTGTACAGTAGACTAGCCTCTTGTACAATTTCTTTTTTCCTCAGGAGAAACTGTATTAAATGGTGACTTTACAAATGTTTTTTTTCTTTCAAATAGATTGTTGTCCTCAAGACAATTAGAATTTAAAAGGAAATTATTTTGTAATAGCCTTAGCAAGGCAGCATTACATAGCTGACCTTGGCTGATCTTAGAGATTTGTTCCAGGTTAATACCGAAGTAGATGTAAAATCTGCCTGCTAAATTGAATAGTTGAAAACATAGCAAAAGAAGGCAATTGCAAGACACTTCCCTAACTCACTAAGAATTGAGTTTTACTTGAGGGCATCTATATTTTTTTAGTAAACATAGGAGCCAATCCCCATGCCCTATTTCCACAAAAGAAAAACCCAACAGAATCTTAATGTATCATAAGATTAGCACATTTATTCTAGTACAAGATTCCTTAAGTTATTACCCATTTCATCAGGTGGACAGAGCATTATTCTATGTTTGTTTATTTGTTTTTGTACTTCTTAATCACCCATCTCCCTTGGATGTCCCTCCTTATATGTCTTTGGTTGATTTTCAGAATTTTAGATACAATGGAGCTGATTTAGAAAATGGGGTGGGCTGCTGATCATAATAGTGGAAGAATGTACAGTCCTAGATTGACGCTAAAGGGTCTCTTTAATCTGTACAAGTAGTCCTTGACTTACAACAGTTTGTTTAGTGTTCAAAATTACCACAGCACCGAAAAATGTAACTTATGACCGTTTGCAGCATCCCCATGATCAAAATTAAAATGCTTGGCAACTGGTTCATATTTATGACTTTTGCTGTGTCTCGGGGTCACGTGATCAATTTTACGACCTGACAATCAAAGTCAATGGGGAAGCCAGATTCACTTAACAGCCGGGTTATTAACTTAATCAACTGCAGTGATTCACTCAGCAACCGTGACAAGATAAGTCGTAAAATATGGCAAAATGCTTAACAAAAGAAATTTTGGACTCAATTGTGATCATAAGTCAAGGACTACCTGTACTTAACAACCCACGGCCTTTAGGGTCATCCTTATAGACTCTCTCCTAACAATCCTCAGCAGAGCCCCGGGGAAGTTGTCTTTTCCTCTGCCTCCTCAGCTGGCCCATGGAAGTACCTGCCACTTTGCTGGGGAACAGAGAAACAGTGAGTTGCAGACCACGAGGAAAGCGTACCTCCCCACTCTGGGGAGTCTCCAAGGCCCCCTGTCCCTCCAGTAAGGAAGAGAGCTTACCCATTAACTGTTGGCACATCTCTGCCCGTCCTACCACACTAGCAGTTATCCAAGTTGTTCCCTTGTCTTTCCCTTGCCACGCACAGCTATTAAGAGATTTCAGTTTTCAGCCTTAATACCAAAGCAGTCAGTCAGGGTCAGCTGTTGAGCCTTGCCACCAGCTGATTGGATATAGTGGCCAGAGAGAAGTGGGAAAGAGAGTGGAGATAGACTCCTCTCACTTCCCGCCAGACAACCTATGGGTTTCTGGGAAGTATAGCCTAAAATTATGATTACATGACTGTCCAATCGTAGCGACACTGCAGTGGCCACAACTTTGCAAATACAAGTGGTTTGAAAATCCTTGACGCTTCAATTACAAAGAAGTAATGAGTCCTGAATCTTGGATGCATTCGTTAAATTATTTGAAGTACCTTGAATCAAAAATGGTTGCCCTACAGTGTACTGTTTTGACCAATTGAGGGTTACTAATAGACAAGCAGGAGAGTTTTAATAATACAGAGAGATGATATCATGAAAATGTCTTCTCATGTGATGGGATTTTATATGTGTATTTCATTTCATCTGGCAAACACTCTTTCTATCCATCCAAAAATTTGGGAATGTGTGGCAGGGAGAAGGCTAATGTGCATGGAACATCCACTCTCTCCCCCTTCACACTATATTTGGCCATGGCAATTGCTGTTGTGGAAGATGAATTCTTTATATAAGTGTCAAAAGATTAATTAATGCAATGGTCTAGACCAGCGGTTCTCAACCTATGGGTCGCGACCCCATTTGGGGTCGATCGACCATTTCACGGGGGTCGCCAAGCAAGGCTGTCCACCACTTTTTTCCCCTTTTCCGGCGGGTGCCTTACCTCCCTTGAGCTGGGCCAGCTGGTGGTCGGCCTGCTCCGTCTCTGCCGCTTGCCAGCTACGCCTCGGCCGGCACGGGGTGGAACCACGCATGCGTGGTGCTCCCGGGCAGGGAAAGTCCTCGACTTACACCTGTTGGGTAGTCCTCGACTTACGACCGGTTTAGTCCTCGACTTACGACCGGTTTAGTCCTTGACTTATGACCGGTTTAGTCCTCGACTTATGACCGGTTGGGGTCGCGGCATTAAAAAGGTTGAGAACCACTGGTCTAGACTAGAGGCAGCCAGTTTTGCTTGATATAGAATCCAAAAATGTAGTGATAATACAAGGTTGTCTAGATATATCCTAGAAGTATACCACTCAGAAGTCCATTCTGAAGAAGATAAATCTCCTGAGCAAAATCATTTTATCACTTTGGGTCTCAAATTGGAAAGACATAAAAGTAGGAGGAATGCCATAACCTTTCCGATATTCCTCTGCATGGAATCTCTACACACAGTTGTCTTTTTGAAATTGCAGCTAGTCCTCCTTTAGCAACTGCAGTTGGTACTGTCAACTCAGTTGTTAAGCATCACAGTTGCTAAGTGAAATTGTGAATGTACTTATGAACTTACTTCAGCCTTCCTTTGCTTTACAGACCCACGAAGGTTGTAAATGCATGGATTGGTTACAAAATTACTTTTTATCGTCATCATAAGTGTGAATGGTCACTAAAGAAGACACTTGCTAAATGAGGTCTACCTGTAAAGTTTTTCCAATTTTTGAGGGACTGTTTCATCTTTGTGGGGGGGGTGTTACTCTGAATTATATGAATTGTGTTATAAATTGTGGCTATTTCACTACAGGCCTTCCTAAGCAGACTCTAAAATGTTCCACCTTGAGAACGAGATAAAAACATCAAATATGCTGAACTAAGTTTGTCATGCATTCTATCTTTTCCCTTTTGTTTAGTTCTTCATTATTTGTGATAATGTATTCTTGTCTATGTTGCATGAATGGGATGGTTAAAAAAATGCTCTTCAGATAATACTATTCTGATGGGATTAATCTCTGTGTTATCTATTCTTCCCAGTTTTTGTTAATAACATCCATGGTCATCTGATTACATTGTGTAGTAACAGCTTTACAAGAATGCTGGAGAGTTCTGTTATAACTAGAGGTCATGTTCTGGGAAATAACTGCCTCTGCTCGCCCCTCACACACAGCAAGCTAGAACATACTGCCTTTTGTCCCTTAATGTTACACCAGTTTGACTGATACACAGAATTGTTTATCAGGCATGAGTTCATTTAAGGGTTGTTTAGAACTGTTTTACTGATTGATCTGTTATTTAAAATTGTTGCCATGAAAATAAATGGAGGCCACATCAGGCCCACATTCATAAAAATTGACCAATGCAAACCTGTGTTTAGATGTCAATGATTGGTAGATCTTTACATTGGGCATTTGTGCACGATATGATAAACCATGTTTAAACCTAATCATGGCAAACTTATTTACCATGGGCGCCACAGTAGACTGTACAGCAGATTGTGGTTATCTGCAGTTTGCCAGTCAACTTTTCTTTCTATGTTTGTAAACACCATTGAGTTTATGAAGTTCTGTATTGACCCATTTGTAAGGATATTTTCATAACTGAAATTTAAATTAGCGTTTGCATTTTTGGTCTCAGCAAATGATAAAATATAGAATCTAAGATGTACATTCAAATGTTAAATGGCTGTATTCTGCTTTCTAGGAGGGAAGAAAAATAATTTTAAAAGCAATATTTTCAGTTTTTGATTTGTTTTATTTCAATATTTATGAAGTATTTGTTATTTTATTCCATGTACTCTCAAATCCTCCATAGGGGTAGATTATTTGAGTGGGGCTATTCTTTCCATTTTACTACATGTATACTTGTTTGCTTTTACTCCAGGTTGTTGGGTTGCACACCATTCACGATTGTGTCCTATATCTTGATGTGGTACTTACCTCCCTTCATATCAAACCGAATTCTGTGGTATCTGACTTTTTATTGCCTTTTCCAAGCCCTGAGTACAGTAAGTTGATTGGTGCTGAAAACCATTTTTTTACATATAGCAAATATGTGATAGATGGCTATCACATCAGTGAATTACACATTTTTTTTTCAAATAAAATGGTGTACCTGTTAAGTCACAGAGTTCCAAAAGGGAAGTACTATGTATTTCTGGGATAATTATATTAATTGAGTAATTCAAAGAGACTGCACAAAGGTAGTAGAACAGTGGTTCTCAACCTTTTTAATGCCGCGACCCCAACCGGTCATAAGTCGAGGACTAAACCGGTCGTAAATTGAGGACTAAACCGGTCGTAAGTCGAGGACTAAACCGGTCGTAAGTCGAGGACTACCCAACTGGTCGTAAGTCGAGGACTTTCCCTGCCCGGGAGCGCCGCGCATGCAAGTGGCAGAGACGGAGCAGGCCGACCACCAACTGGCCCAGCCCAAGGGAGATAAGGCACCCGCCGGAAAAGGGGAAAAAATGGCGGACAAAAAAAATGGCGGACAGCCTTGCTTGGCGACCCCCGTGAAATGGTCGATCGACCCCAAATGGGGTCCCGACCCACAGGTTGAGAATCACTGTAGTAGAAGATACTGTTCATTGTATTTTTAATTACCGTAATTCCATTTGTCTGGAATAAGGTCTCTTACTCTAGCAGGGGGTTGTACTAGAAGACTTCCAAGGTCCCTTCCAACTCCGTTATTTTATTTTCTACTATAGCGTGTCAGGTTTTTTGTCTGTGTTGACCAATTAGATCAGGGGTGTCAAACTCGCAACGTCATGTGACGTGTCGCGACATATCGTGACTTTTTCCATTGCCAGCAATGGGGTGGGCGCAGTTTCGGCATGATGCATCTGGCCCACGGGCCGTCAGTTCGACACCCCTGAATTAGATCAACAGAAAAACAGTCATGCTCCCAGAATGCCAATGCTTTATTACAAAGATGAAAAAAATGTTTTGGTGTTTGGAATTTCCATCCAATGATTGCTTGATTCTGTTGGTTGGCATATTTTTAAGGCTGTGATTGAAGTATGGCTTTTGTGTCTTGTAAAAATTATCTGCCATTCATAGGAAATGTCAGAAGAAGTCTTGTTAGCATCTTTTCCTACTAACACAATTTATTAAAGGGCATAAGCTTTGCGAACTGCAACTCATTTCATCAATGCGTAGAATAGCTTAACTCAGGGGTCTTCAAATTTGGCCCTTTTATGACTTGTGGACTTCAACTCCCAGAATTCCTCAGCCAGGTATGCTGGCTGAGGAATTCTGGGAGTTGAAGTCCACAAGTCATATAAGGGCCAAATTTGAAGACCCCTGTCTTAACTGATGTAGGATTTAAATAGATTGGGATGGAGCTGTGAGTGGAGGAGAAAGCAGGTTGATTATACAAATATGTTTCATGTGAGATAGATTATAACTACCTTATCAATTAACAGTTCACATATGTTTTAAAAATCCATTGTATTTGTTGAGACCTTCAGAGAGAGACTAAAGCCTTTTGAAGTATGCAAGTTCAACCATCTCAGTATTGCTGTAAAAGTCTTGTTTTTTTAAATTAATCATTCCAGATGGTCATTTCTTGGGGTTTGTGGTGATGTTGTTGGTGTACATTATTTCACTATAATATCGCTATCCTGTAAAAGTAGTTTTACATGGCACTATTGTGGTATATCATATTTCACTGGAAAAAAAATATAACACTGTAATACTATTGTGCTAATTTTTATTTATTTTATGTATTAGATTTGTGTGCTCCCCATAACACTGATCAAAAAAGGGTTGTGTTTTTTAAATTAATAATAGTGCTGTTTTATGCTAAAATAATGTCTTATTAACAATCTTCCAATGCCCCCATGTTATGAGTAGTAAACGTTAATGTAAATCATCACTATGCAGATTGAAAATAAAAATGCCATAATTATTTATTCTTTTAAACTATTCGTGATAGAGCTGCTAAGTATTTTTGCTATAGCTGTACCAGGTGCCATATTCTGCTCTCACCATGTTTCTGAGCACAGATCAAGCAGATCGCGATTCAGCAACTGCCTACCGTGAGTTTCAAAGCCAGCTTTTGATTTTGGGAGGGTGGAGGAGTGAGGGAGACATTGGGTAGGGTGGGGATACAGCTGTGGTCTCCATCTTAGCATGGGGCTACAACTTCCTTGGAAAGTTTTTGAAGGATAGAAACTCTTTGTTTATCTTTTATTTTCAACTGTGTTCAATGTATTCTAAAGATTATGGAATTTGCTTGTTGTGCTTTCTGTCTCAAAAACGGTCCTGAAACTCAACAAGGCCATTCTGTGGGATATAGGAAGAAGCCATTAGAGCCATCCCATCATTTTATCTAGATCAGTGGTTCTCAACCTTTTTAATGCCGTGACCCCAACCGGTCGTAAGTCGAGGACTAAACCGATCGTAAGTCGAGGACTAAACCGGTCGTAAGTCGAGGACTACCCAACCGGTCGTAAGTCGAGGACTTTCCCTGCCCGGGAATGCCACGCATGCGTGGTTCCGCCCCCTGCGCCAGCCAAGGCGTAGCTGGCAAGTGGCAGAGACCGAGCAGGCCGACCACCAGCTGGCCCAGCCCAAGGGAGGTAAGGCACCCGCCGGAAAAGGGAAAAAAAATGGTGGACAAAAAAAATGGCGGACAGCCTTGCTTGGCGACCCCCATGAAATGGTCGATCGACCCCAAATGGGATCCCGACCCACAGATTGAGAACCACTGATCTAGATAAACCTAATGGCTGGTCAAAAGACCATCTTTGGTGAGGTTTTATTCATTGTTAAATCCTTTTGATGATATCAAGAGACAATATTGTTAGTAAAACGAGAAAGTGAGAGAGACAAGGTGACCAATTTGACATTAAGATTTTTTTACAATTCAGATTAATGTAGGTTAAAGACGGCAAAAGAGGAAACATTTTTTGAACTCACTGTAAACCATACTGTGTCATAGATCTAAAGTCTGCTTTTTCTTAGGGAGAAAATCATCTTTCAACATTTACCACTGTCTCTTGTGCTGTTTCATATTAGCATACATACATAGTTGTCCAAGCTAAACACTTGGACAAGCTTTCATTCTCTTTACTCCCTTTGCAAATGCTGAATTTATTCCCCACCGTATGGAGGGAGTAAATGGAAAGCACTATATGACTTGTTTCAGCTCTGATTTGAAGGGCAAATGCAAGCAATAGTTGAACAATTCAAACACAGACAAATTGCAATTTCTGTCAACTAGAAAACCTAGAAAGAAATGGAGCAGAGAGAAGGAAATGTGTGGGCCTGAGGCTCAGTCAGATTGAGACAATTTATGACATGTAGATTTCCATTGATTCTCTAGAGTCTGTGCATTATGCTAGAAGATAAATGCACCTAGGAAGAGATAGCTTTGTAATAAACCATTGGTCTTTAAGTAATCCCAGTTTTTTTTTCATTTCCTTGCACATATTTCCTGAATTTCTGACTGCATGTTACAATGGCTCCCACCTCCCAATATAGTACTGCTTGATATTCACTGCAGTATACATATAAATCACTGTTTTACTATTGAAAGCTGTCTAGAGGAGTGTGTATGTGAAAAACTGCAAGATGTGCTGTATTTACCAAAGGGATGGGGTTTGACTCCTGAAGCTGCACACACCATCTTGGAGATTTTGATTACTTTGTGGGGGGAAACTGTCTGCTTATGTTTCAGCATTCATTAAGCAAGCCAGATTTGTAGAAGCAGGGCTTTTTTTCTCATAGAACACCCAGAACGGAGTTCCGGCACCTTTTTTGGATGGAACCTTGTAGGGTAGGCAAGGCGGGTTGTATGACGTGTGTAAGTTCCGGCACCTTTTTTTTTTTATTTTTTATTTTTTAGAAAAAAGGCACTTTGTAGAAGTGGTCTGTTTTCCTCCCCTAGGAATGGCATTTGAAGTTCTTGGAACACTGATTGGAGCTACGCTGCATGGCCAGATAGTTGCCGGTGCTCACACTTCTAGTCGCTGTAGCCAGAATGAAACTATTGGGCTGCAACAAAACAGCTCTGAAGTCATAGATGTGTCTTATGGAGTAAGTCAAAAACATTTTGTAATGTTTTTATAGTGCTACATCACATTAGGATGAGGATATCAAATTTATTGTAATAGACCCGGGTCTTAAATATTTTTTCAAAGCAAGTCTCATTTGAATTTAGTGGGACTCACCAAGAAATGTTTCTTATTTCATTTATGTCTAATAACCATCTCTTCACTGTGATTTGGAAATGATGTATCGAAAGGACTTGTCAAAAGGTGGCAAGACACAAGGATTAGTGTAGAGATGAGAGATGGTCCTATGTGTCAGGCATGTCAAGCTGCCGGCCTGTGGGCCAGATGCATCACGCCAAAACCACACCCACCCCATTGCCGGCAATGGGGGAAAAGTCACGCGACGTCACGTGACGTTGCAAGTTTGACATGCCCGCTATATGTGCAAAATCCAGCTGTACGCCTGATATCACTTAATTCACATAATAAAAAAGCATAATTGGATATACTTGCAATGTTTTACATGTCGATTAATTGTATGTGGAATGGGTAGTTGATCGTGGTGACATTGCCACACCCACTTCACTCCAGCCCCCTCCCCCCAATCGCAGCCGACCTATCGTGGGCATTCATTCTCAGCTGTCCCTCTGCCTGGACACCTGCTCCGCCACTGGTCTTCCATCCTCTCCCCCCCTCCCCCCATGAAGCCATGGACAATTCACCCCAGTGGGCGCGATCAATTGTCCCATTCCACATACAATTAATCCATATGTAAAAACATTGCAATTGTATCCAGTTATGCCTTTCCATTATATGAATTAAGTGATGTCAGGTATACATCTGGATTTCGCACATATAGGATCATCTCTCATCTCTACACTAACAGTCATTCACAGGCAGGGGATAAGATAAAGGCAAAGTCATGGGAATACATTAATGAAAAGTTGCTTCCAAGGCAGGTTTGTGCTTTAGTAAGAGTACAAGTCAGCTCCTGGTGCATTTAGTTTGCAATGTTCCAAAGGATATCCACATTTTTCAGTGTTCCCTCAGTGAATGCATGGTCTGTAGTATCCACTTCTAATACAACTGTTTTGGCTCTTCTACTCACATTCTAATATATAGTTAAATTGCAGATGTTAATTTAGGTATTTAAACTTTATCTCGGGCAGCTTTCGTTCACCAGTGATTGCATCTGGTCCAACAGATTTATAAAGATGGAGGGAGGTATTACCCTAAGAATAAGATCCTGTAGGCAATTAAAGAGGGATTCCTTAGGCAAGACTGATAGTTCTTAATCTCTGCCATCTACCAACAAACTAGTCAAATTAATTGAATTTCTGAGTTTCCTTGTAAAGTTGCTTGTCATTAGAGCTCTATTTTCTTTAGGCCATTGTTTGTTCTTTTATTATTTGTTTCTTACTTCTGTCATTTGGTTGAAATCTTCTCTTACCATTGTCTTTAAAGAAAAAAGTCTACATGATTGCAGCTGGGCTGATAGGAAGCATCTACCTTGTCGGCATCCTTTCCCTGTTCTTTGGAGTGAAAGAAAAAGTTGGTGAGCATAGTTAAAGCTTTTTAATATTTCTGTGTGTCTATTTTCTCCATTCAATCTACAATCTCATATAAACAACGTTGTATATATTCCACCCATTATAGATCCATACACCTTAATGCCAGACAAAAAAGTTCCTTTCTTTAAAGGACAAAAGCATGCAATGAAGCATCAACCATATTTGATATTTACAGCAGCATTTCTACTGATTTTAACAGCGGTTCAGGTAATTCTTAATTTACACAGTGTCCTCATCAACGTGGTTTGTATAAATTGCATTGAAGAATCTATGCAGCTGCAGCATAAGAACTTGATCATATATACTGTACGTGATCTTACTTTCCTTAAAGAGAAATCCTCTTTTCTGTAAAAATCAACCCAATATCTTCTGGGGCCATTCAGAGATTTTACAGATTTTGGCTATCTTCTGCTGTTTTTATTATTTCATTATCAAAAATGTATAGATTTTTAATGTTGAAAGTCAGTGGGCGTGATCCTGTGCTGTCACAGTTACAGGTTTGCTAACCTCCTTCCTGGATTCATATAAAAAGAAAAGATAGATACAACTTATGGCACAAAAAGCATTCATGACCAAAGATTTTTAATATGCTTTTATATAAAAAGCTTTTTTCAAATGATTAAAAAGCCAATTACTATGTAGCCGTATCAAGAAATGTATGAATTGTAAACAGAAAACCTTACCTTATCACTATGTTTATCCATCCTCCTTCACATTTGAATCAGGTCTACCCTAATAGTATAGTTCTCTTTTCTTTTAACGATGATGCATTAAATGTATATGTCACCCAATAACCAGCACTTTACTTTACTTTTCTTTTTTCTTTTCTTTTCTTTTCTTTTCTTTTCTTTTCTTCAACTTTCTAGATAGAACAAGGAAACTTTGTTCTCTTTTGTACTTATGCAGCTGGTCTTCGCAGTCACTTTCAAAATTTAGTGGTGATTATCTTGGTAAGTGTTTAGACAAAGCTAAGCTTCCTTGTGTGGTATGTCTTTTCTTATCCTATTTCTATGGTCCATACCTATATGAAAATCAGGTTTTCATGATTGAAGGCCTTTCTCCCTCTGTAACTATATTGTGCAAATATAATAAAAAGAAAAGTACAGGTAGTCCTCGACTTATAAGAGTTCACCTAGTGACCAAAGTTACTATGGCACTGAAAAAAGTGACGGATTACCGTTTTTCAGACTTACGACTTTTGCAGCATCCCCATGGTCACGTGATCAGAATTCAGACACTTGGCAACTGACTCATGACAGTTGCAGTGTCCCAGCATCATGTGATCACCTTTTACAACTTTCTGAAAAGCAAAGCTAATGGGGAAGCCAGATTCACTTAACCGTGTTAACTAACTTTAACTGCAGTGATTCACTTAACAACTGTGGCAAGACAAGTCGTAAAATAAGGCAAAACTCACTTAACAAATGTCTCACTTAGCAACAGAAGACTATCTGTATTGGTTTCTATCTCTCTGGTCACCTTTTTAAACCCATGGTCATCTCTTTAGGCTGACTCCATCAGAGTCCACGCTTCTGCCCTCTTGTGATGTGTAGCTATTGCTATTTGTATGATTCTGCAATCTTCAAATTGTACTCTTGATTCCCTTGGAAGCCATAAATACATTTTTCCTTATCTGATATTTTTCCCCTCATTATAACACGTAGGTATCAGCTACAGTGAGCGTCCCATTCTGGCAAAGATTTTTGAAACATTTTGGCAAAAAAAAAGCAGCATGTGGAATATCAGTAAGTAGGCCGTTAATACTTATGGCTACACTTCAGATTAGATTCCAGAAAGGTGCTTCAGAGCATACAGAGGCATGAATGGAGCACCTGTCTGTAACTCTTTAAGGCACCAAGCCTTTTTCCATGATCATGTGGCAACAGCAGAGGGCAGCTATGATATGCCAAGTAAAAATGTGACTGCTTTAAAGAGTTCCAGAAGTGCTGGGCTTGTGCTCCTAAGCACTTTGAAACACCCTTTTGAAATTGAATTTAAGGCTCTGCATAGTCCTAATAATCATACAACTTGAATGTAATCATTTGAGCAATAGTCTTTTCTAGGCCATGCTTGCTAGCTATATTAAACCCATTTTTTAAATCTGTGATTTTGGGATGATTTGATGACTTAATTGTAGCTAGGTCTCCTGGTTCTTGTCCTGTTGATTAAGAATCTCTTCCTGTTATTGTTTATAATCTGTTCAGATCAACAGACACCAGACTATGTGGCTGAAAACTAAAGGCACCCTGTCTCTAGAAATAACACCTCTTGCCCTACAGATTTTCTATTTATGGTGGATCTGAAATAGAAGGATAAAGAGTACAGCCAAATACTCCCCAATGGTATTTTTCAAACTTGGCAATTTTAAGATGTGTGAATTTCAACTCCCAGAATTCCCCAACCAGCATGCTGCTTGGGGAATTCTGGGAGTTGAAGTCATACATACTTAAAGTTACCAAGTTTGAAAGGCACTGTTGCAGAGCATGTAACATGTACTCTTGATGTACATTTTTGAAAAACACTGCTCTATGACCTTCAAAGCAGAAGGAAAACCAAAATTAAAATTAAAAGGGTAGTTTATGCAGCAAAAAAGGCCACTCACTACCGTAGCACTTTGAAGCACATTCTTTGCATACGGAAGATCCAAGGTTTTGTCCCAGGTCTGAAATTCTAGCAAACTGATGTCTATCATTGCCAATGATATTAATCTAGACGAACTGGTGATGACTTACTACACTGTCACATCTATAATGATTGTCATTGTTATGTCTGTACTGTAATCTTAATCCTGTTTATATCATTGTCCTGTTAAGGCATTGCCCTTTCTTAGATGTCCAATCATGGATGAAATGATTTAGCTTTTCTCCTTATTTCCATTCATTCTAGTTGATGATTCCTTCTGTAATCGTGCTGGTGACGATCCCAAATGTCTTTCTTGCCTACCTTGTTGCTTTTGTATCTGGACTTAGCATTGCAGCATCTTTCCTCTTGCCGTGGTAAGTGTCTCTTGTAGAGGGTGAGCATAAAGGCAGGGTGTGTAGGGGAATATCCGCTGCATTTGGCTAAAAGCAGCACTTTAGCCTTTGGGTGATACCCTGCGGTCTGCCTCCAGAAGATGCTTCATCTTGTTTAATTAAAAATTAATACTGATGGAATCGATTCAGTGCAATGATACATAGCAGCATCTTTAGGGCTGGGAGCTCTTGAGACTACAGACAATCCCGATCGAGACGCCTCAGATTGTGTGGTCAAGAGATCAAATCTTTCAAAAATCTTGTCGAGAATCTTAAGACAAAACCAGTGGAAGAGAGGTCTAAGGCTAAACGATTAAAATCCCAGTGGTTTTTAATGGCCAATCCAAAAGGTGGGAAAAAAATTATAGGAACAGGCAATAAAGCATATGAAACTATCCCTATTAACTATATATAAAGGTATTATTTAGAGAGTATTAAAAGTATTTTAATAAAAGTATTATTTTAAAGCAATATGTAAATATGAAAATGTAAAAGCCTTATTATCAAAATGTGCATTTAATTTTAGATCAGTTACCTTCCACTTACAAAGTCCTGAATCACATGATTTTAAAGACATTAAAAAAAAAAAAGCCCTTTAGTGATTGTGCACAATTTGCTTATTGTTAAGGAGGGGGGCACATGTGATCACTGTTTTTTGTTTTTGCATATTATTGTTATTTGCAAGGATTGTAATGATAGAATGATAGAAAAATAAGAAAGCTTTGCACAAATAGAATTTATTATTACTAGCAGAAGTATGAATGGCAGCTACACAGATAGTTATTGACTTAAAACCAGGCAAAATTATGATGGACCCCTCAAAAGTACTTACAACATAGTTCCAAAGTCATGACAACCATTACCACCCCATAGTCATGTATCCAGATTTTGGGCGCACGGCAGCTAGCCTGTATTTTATGTCTATTTGCAGTGTCCTGTAGTCATGTGACCGTGATTTATGTCCTTTTTTTCTGAAAACTGGCATTTACTTTCTGTTTTCAGCAAAAATGCCTCAGTGAACAATGGGTTCACTTAACAGCCCTGGCATTCACTTCATGACCACAGATTCACTTAACAACCATGGTAATTCACTTAATAACCACCACAAAAAAGATTGTTGTCAAATTGGGTTGGTCATGTGCGGGGGTAGGCAATCTTGGCACTTTTATGACTCGTGGACTTCAACTCAAGAACTCCTGAGCCAGCCATGCTGAGGGGAAAGGGAGAGTTTCCAAGCTGAGCCATGCTGGCTCAGGAATTCTGGGAGTTGAAGTCCATGAGTCATAAAAGAGCCAAGGTTGCCTACCCCTGGTCATGTGGATGTCTCGCTTTACAATTTAAACAACCTTAATGGGTAGACAACCATTATGGTTGTAAGTCAAAGACTACCAGTGCTGTATAAAGGCAAAATAAATTGAGTTCTAGAGTTCTGTTCAAAGTCAGTTTTTGAGTTGCAGTACATAGAAACAACCTGTTTTAAATCTCCCTTTAATTGTGAAAGATTCTAACAATGTTTTTTCAGACATTTTTTAAAACTTAAAAACTTTTTCGATTTAATTTGGGGGCTTAAACTAAGGCTGCTTTTGTCGGTTAAAGGTCTATGCTGCCTGATGTAGTTGACCACTTTCGAATGCAGAACATTCACTTATCAGGGCATGAAACTATCTTTTATTCGTCCTTCATATTTTTCACAAAGCTGTCAACTGGAATTGGAATGGGAATTTCTTCCTTCAGTCTACAGTGAGTGTTTTAAGTTTTGGTTTCTTTGGGATCTTGCATTTGTTTAATTCGGTAAAAGGGGCACAGGGCTAGGTAATCTGTGGCACTCCAGATATTGATAAATTACAACTCCTGCATTCTTTGCCATCGTCCCGGTGTCCTAGGTGTGTTAGGCACTGCAGTTTAGCAACTAGATGGTTGTGCGCTGCCTATACCTGTTCTTGTCATTATGCCTGCAGGTAATCTCTTAACTACTCAGTTTGTTGTGATAGAGATTACTACGTTATTTATTTATTTTTAAAATGCAATCAGTTTATAGCTATCTCTGTTGCTCTACTCACCATACATGCAGACATATAATAAAGACATTTTCAATGTGAACTCATTTTAAGAAAGGGTTCATATCACCGCATACTCAGTCCGCCAGATTTTATTCTGCTTTTATGTTTTTTCTAATTCAGGGAAGATGTTTTTTTAACAAAATATTCTACAAGTTTCATGAAACAGAAAAAGAAGGATAATTGCTTTTGAATTTCTGAAGTCAGATTTAGATCTGGAGCCCAGCTTGAACCGGGGCCTCCAAACCAGTTTAAAATTAATTGGGCTGTTTCCAATCTTGTTTGTTGACCCAGGGGGTGATATGATGGGAGATAGCGGGCTGGCTATAACAGGAAAAGGGGAGTCCAGAATTTGTTGTCATTTCTACTTCTGACTCTTTCCTGGTTCCAGGTAATTGTGTTAGTGGCTACTTTAGCTTCCAACTCTTGCTAGTTTACAGCAGTCTATAAGACTACATTAATAATAATATAATAATAATAAAGTTGGAAGGGACCTTGGAGGTCATCTAGTCCAACCTCCTGCTCAGACAGGAAACCCTATACCCGTGGTGGCAAACCTATGGCACGCGTGCCACAGGTGGCATGCAGAGCCCTCTCTGTGGGCACGCGTGCCGTCGCCCCAGTCGTAGGCCTTCAGCTGGGTTTCATAAAACCTTTTTGCTTTAGGCCTCCGCCACCGTGTGCAAAAAAAAAAAAAGGTTCAATCAATCAATCAATTTCAACTTCTTGCGGGAAAAAAATGATCTCGCAAAGTTGGAATTGATTGGTTGAACTTTTTAGTCCCACCCAGGCTGCCGTTACCACCACAGCCACGCCCACCCAATTGGCCACATCCACTCAATGAGCCACACCCACACAGCACCCGACAATACATAAGTGGGTTTTGGGTTGCAGTTTGGGCACTCGGTCTCTAAAAGGTTCGCCATCACTGCCCTACACCATTTCGGACAAATGGCTGTCCAGTCTCTTCTTAAAAACTTCCAGTGTTGGAGCATTCACCGCTTCTGGAGGCAGAAGAGCATGCAGTGTGTTTCCTCTGAAATAGTTTACCCGCAGAAGTGAGAATGGCCCTTACCTTCATGGTGGGTGCGGAAGCAGATGAAAATCTAGCTATTCTGAAACCTTTCAGGGATTAAAACCTGAATTAAAACCCCTGGTGCCCTATTCCATTGAATGGATTTTACTCTATTTTTAGTGTTTAATTTAATCACCAATTAGCTTCAAATTATTTTAATTATTATATTGATATTATATTGTATTTTATATATAAGCTTGGGAGTTCCCTAGAATCCATTAAAGTTTCAGATGGTAGAGAAATGGAAAATAGAAAATAAATAGAAAATAGAAAATAAATAAGCAAGCTATCCCGGCCCACAAGGTGGAACCAATCCATTAAGTGAAACAAGTTTGCCAAGCACATTGTAGCTTCATAGGGCAGAAAGTAATGGGCTGGATTAAGGGAACTGGCCAATATTATGGAGATCAAGATGCTGTTGTTCTGATCGTAATGAATGAATTGCTGAGATTGCTTTATAAATATAAGAGCCATTATTTTAAGGTGAGACATCAGTGTTAAAAAGATTGGTCTTTACGTAAAAAAAAAACCTGATGAGAAAAAGCCAGTAAGGGTTAGAAAATAACAGCAGCAATATTCAGATTGAAGGGGGAGGGGCGTGAAATGAATTTTAGTTGTGTATTGTTATTTGAATAAATTATAGTAACATTTGCATGACTTTTTAATAGATTCGTAGGCTACAAATCAGGGATGTGCGTACAGTCCACCCATGTTGTCATCACGCTGAAAATCTTGGTTGGTGGAATTCCATCCATCCTCATCCTTTTAGGGTTATTCATACTCCTGTTTTACCCAATCAATGAGAAAAGTCAAAAGGAAGTGAAATATGCCTTTGAAAATTCAAGGTAGGTTTGTACTAATATCGAGCCTCTCCTAGTGAACATCTTTCTTTCGTGAAAGAGGTGTGCTGCTTTTTAAATCAAAAGTCAACTGTGTTACAGTAAAAAATATACTGCTCACAAAAATAAAGGGAACGCAAACCCCTTCAGTTCCATGGTAAAATGTTCCCTTTATTTTTGTGAGCAGTATATATGATAATTCACGGAAAGCAAAATCTTTTTATTAAATTATAAATTACTAAAGGTAAATATGTCACTATTTCCCATTCCTTGAATGCCCCCGTTTATTCAGCCATGTGCATAAACAATGCTTCTGATTCCTAACAAATTCAGAAAACTCATAAAGCAAATAAAATATCCACCCCAAAATAAGTTGTTGCATTGGATAATTAAAGCACACTGTAAAGCTAATTCTTTGAAAGTTGAATCTGTTGAATTTTGGAGGATTTCTTAAACTTAAATCCAATACTGATTTTCACATTTTCAGAAAAGCCAGGAGTTAAATCCAGAATGATGTGCATGCAAAATTTCTACTCCCATGGTTGGACTAAATAAAACACTATCCCTTAATATAAATTACCGTATTTTCTCTTACAGACTTGTGGTGTTTGGCTTTGGTGGGTCTTACAATGCACTTATTTTGCATTGTCCTGAAACTGGCTTTTCCATAGAGATGGTGTACAAACAACAGGAAATAAATCCTGATATATTTGACCAGAGCTTACAAGGTGTTAGAATTAAAAGCCAGTATTAATTGATTTGGATTCTGAAGCTAAAGGACAGCTTCTAAAAAACATTTTAACGTGACAACTTTTGTCTCACATTTTGTATGTCATGATTAAAAGGTGGGATCCAGGCCCAGCAGATGCCATGTTTAAATTACAACGTAAGCTGTTTTTTTACACAAGATTCTTTCATGTCTTATGAAACAGGAGGAATCATGTGAAGACTGAAAACATTGCTGAGGAAAGCAGTTGTGTTGGAAAGCCTGAATAAAAATAGAAGTCTAGTGCTAATGAAAATGCAACCAGAGGGCAGCACTTCAGCATGCTTGAAGGCATTTGTCTTATTCCTCCAGTGTTTATTCACCCATATACCAAGGCTGGTCTGATCAGAAAGACGATGCTTTGGAGCATGGGCTTAGAGAGCCTGTAACATCTGTACTGCTGGATTACTATGAAGCCTTGCACGAGCTATGTATAAGATGCAATAGGTGGTGCTCTCTTCTTTCATATATTGTACCAGTACATGTTATATTGAGGAGAAAAGCTGCCTGACGAGATAAAAGCCGTGGTCTTGTGAGCGCTATCCATAAGCTGTTAACCAAGACAGTGTGGTTAGAGGGAATTTCAACTAATTATAGGTTATGGTTCCTACCAAAGGAAATCCCATAATTTTTGTTAATCACAGAATTCTGTTTATCATCAATACATTGCCATTTAAACTGCTGGCTTCATCTGTGTTTTTTGTATAGATATTTTTAATCCCCCTTAATCGTTTTATCAATAACTCAGCAGAGAAGATACCTAAAACTCCTCCTATTTTCTGATAGCCCACTTTTGAATTAATGTGGAGGAACAGAACACATGAATTCTAAAAGTCTGATCTTCACGCATTTTATTATATTAAATGGGGCTCACATAAATATTATAAGAGCATGTACTGTCATCGCTAATTGTGAAAGCATATATATATTAGTACTTCTACAAAGCATTTTCACTGAGAGGCTCAATGGCAGTTTTGTGTGCTCCAGGAGAATGCTATTGAAACCTCTCTGTGGCAAATGGACAAGGCAGAACTCATTATTCCATGGTTTACACAAATTTGCAGATCATTCATGCTGTCTGAACTGATTGCAATACTACTTTCCATTCACTGCTGTTTTGCACAAGTACAGCCAATAGAATTTAGGTTCTTGAAAATTTCAACTTGGAGTCAGCCCATTCACAGAAACAGAAACACAGGTTCCTCACTGGGTGCTAGCAGTGGTGAAATGTGACATATAAATGTGACTAATGCTGCCAGCATGAAAAGTTACAGACTTTTAAAAAAAAAAATGGATGCAGACTTTCTAAGTCTGACACACAATAGCCCAAACTATAGTCAAATATATTTGAAAATGGACCTTTATTTCTGTTAATGAATTCATAGATTAAAATCATTCTTAGATTGAAGAAATGTATTAATTATTTTGAAAGTAGTTCGGCTTTTTCAGCAGAGATAAGGAAATAATGAAATTGGGTAACAGCTGGGCAATATTGTGACTTAACATTATTTTTCAGTAAGGTGTGTAGAAAAAAGTATACCTGGTAAATTGTATGTTTACTTGCTTTTAAAATACACATAAACAGGCACTCCCACTCACCAGATGCAGCTCAGTAGAATATGATCTAAAATCAGTTAAATCGTCTCTTCATATGCAAGAATCATAAGAGTAACGAGCAAAGTAGCATCTCTGGTTACAGAATTAAGCAAAATTGATAAAATAAGGACAACACAATAAATATTACATATAGCAGTTGTGCCATTCTCTGTTCAATTCATCTCACAAAACCCTCGGAAACTTTTTTCTTTCTCAAGCTTGCTAAAAATCCCTAAACAATATGAATGTTTTATTCGGGAGACTTAAGTTCTCAAGTACAAATTCCAGTGTCCTTTTTGATTTAATGTACAAAAGCCCCACATTGATCGGATGATCTGATTTGGCTGGGAGGAGAGCACAGTCTTTGTGAATAAAGTCAAATTTCATATATTGACGGCAAATCTTCAATAACCTCTGGGGGGCAGCAAAGATATTCTGAGAACTCCGACTTTGTTATTGCCTAGTGGTCATCTGAATTTTTGCAACCTAGACCAGGGTAATTTTATTTGATCCTTGGTATTTTTAAATAATTGTTGCAATGTCGTCCTTTACAGTTGGTTTTTTTTTTTTTTTTTTTGCTTTTATTTAATAAAAGAGAAAAAATAATACAGAAAAAAAAGCAATTCAAAAATAGCAAAAATTTAAAGAGCTTCTCATATATGTGTATGAAATTTTATGGAAAGTTTTCAATAAAAAATATAGGTAGTCCTCGACTTATGACCATAAATGGGCTCAAGGCAGTTGTTAAGTGAGTTTTGTCCCATTTTATGACCTTTTTTGCCAGAGTTGTTAAGCGAATCATTGCAATTGGTAAGTGAATCTTGGTCTGTTAAGTGAATTTGGCTTCCCCCATTGACTTGGCTTGTCGGACCCCGGCTAAAAAGGTTGCAAATGGTGATCATGTGACCCTAGAGCAGTGCAACTGTCATAAATACATGCCAGCTGAAGTTTTGGTCACATGACCATGGGGGAATGGTTGTGTGAAAATTGGTCATAGATGCAGGGCTTTTTTTTGGATGGAACCTTGTAGGGTAGGCAAGGCTGGTTGTATGACGTGTGTGAGTTCTGGAACATTTTTCTTTTTTAGAAAAAAAAGCACTGCATAAGTGACTTTTTCACTGCTGTTGTAACTTCAAAAGTCACTAAACAAATAGTTAAGGCGAGGACTATCTCTAACCATATTTAATGGTAGCCATCCAGCCATACCTTACATCTATAAGAAGTCTATTTTTAAAAGTTCCAAGTCACTACAAGTCTTCAGTACGCTGAATAATTAGGTGTGTGGTGTTATTTTCATCCAAAGTCTCCTTGACCCTAAAATATACAGTATGACAAATAGCTTGACTGCAAATAGTGTTTGTTATATACAGTAGTTGCCTCAATGCTTCTTGAGTAAATCTGCTAGACTTCAATGTGTTTTGCTGTGCAATTTATCTGTGGAATATTGTGAAGTGCTTTTTTCTACAACTTAAGAAAGCAGATAACCAACAGTATACTTTGGGTGTATGTGTCTTTAAGCACACATGCATTCAAGCACATGCACAAAGAGAGGTATTGCTATAATATACAGACTGCCAAGAAAATTATCAATTCTTCTAAGAATATAGTAGGGAACTATTTTAACAGCAATCAGCAAAATTTGCAATGGTGCACAAACTACTGGAAAATTTGAAGTGATGACATTTTGTTAACCTTACAATATTTTAAATAAAAAATGGAATTGAACATTTTATAATGACTTTACCCTATGTTGAAAGGAATAACTGTCAGGAGAACCAACTTGTCCTTTTCGGGGACTTGAGAAATTACATTTGAGAGAAATATAAAAGCTATCTTTTCTCATATCCTTTGTCTTTGTAAAAATCTGCTTCTCGTATTAGTATGTTTATCATGAAGGTTTGTAAAATGAATTCTGCATGTATGGAATAGGTAAAATACATGTATATTTATGGGAAAGAATTTAATGTTTTTCATAAGGCTTGTTGGGGACACAGACAAAACACAAGTTTGAATAGTAGAACCGTTTTTAAAAATGACATTCTAATAATATTTATTTTCCCTTCAATCATATCCTATTTTGGGAGACTGCCTGGATATGTCCCTGCAGCTTTTTGGCAAGGTGCTTTGGAAGTGGTTTGCCACTGCTGTCCTCCTACACCTGAAAGTGACAGCTGGGTGGCTTTGTGCCAGTCACTTTCTCTCAACCCTAGCAAGAAGGCAATGGCAAACCATGGCTGAAAAACCTTGCCAAGAAAACTGCAGGGACTTTTCCACGCAGTCTCCAAAAATTGAATATGATTGAACAGAAAAAAGCAGCCTCAAAGATGACATTCAAATAATAACTTAAAAGTGCTTACAACTTCAAAAGGGATTTTACGGGGAAGGTGGAAAGTCCTCTGTTTTCTTTTGGTGGCAGCCAGCTCTGCTGAGACTTTGGAAACTGGAATTTTTCAAATTCCATTGCTGGAATATAACTGGCATTTGCAGTTCAAGAACAATCATTGAGCTATCTTTGATTTTCCTTATCTACTATGATCAAACTTCACCTCAGCACTGCTGATTTCTCTATTGTTCAGAATAGTGTGAACATTCAAAATGCTACTTCTTACATTTAAAGAATGTCCATAAATGTGTCATAATTTCATAGGGATGGAATTGTTCATTCTGCTAAATCAAAACCAAAGAAATTACTTTGTTTTATTCATTGTGTGTAAAGCCAGTTCTTATCTTGAAACTGTCTCAAACCAGCTACTTTAAGGTTCACCTTTACTCATATCAATCTTTTGATGTTTTATTTTATTACTTTAACAAAATAACAAGAGTTGGAAGGGACCTTGAAGGTCTTCTAGTCCACCCCCTGCTCAAGCAGAAGACCCTATATTACCATTCCAGTCAAGTGGCTCTCCAGTCTCTTCTTAAAAGCCTCCAGTGATGGAGTACCCACAACTTCTGGAGGCAAGTTGTTCCATTGGTTAATTAACAAAATAACAGAGTTGGAAGGGATCTTGGAGGTCTTCTAGTCCACCCTCTGCTCAAGCAGGAGACCCTATAATACCATTTCAGTGACTGTCCAGTCTCTTCTTAAAAGCCTCCAGTGATGGAGCAGCCATAACATCTGGAGACAAACTGTTCCACTGGTTAATTGTCCTCACTGTCAGGAAATTGGTTGTTAAGAAAAGGGTTAACTTTGAACGATCCCTAAATGGATTGTTGTAAGTCAAGGACTACTTTTATGTGTGAAAAACACCTTGGGGTGACTGGACAAAGATCCTGCCACAAGAACAATCCGTGCCTTGGAAGAGGGAGCTCTAATGGAATATGGGGAAGACCTTGGGAGATTCTGGCAGGAGATGCTCTCTGGGAATGGTCAGCTAAGAGCGTAGCCCTCAGCTGCATCCTGGATGGAGAAAGCAGCTCAGAAAACTGGTTTCTTGGGTGGTAAATGAAAAGGGGTGGGTGGGAAGAGAAGGAGACTTGTACTTTTAGATTTGCAAAATTCTATCAACGGAACATTACAATAAAGTAGAATTCACTCGCCCAATTGTCTATGGAGATTCTCCGTCACCCAGGTCTTGGTTGTCCCAAAGGTGCTTTTTTTTCACGAGGCAACTGGATTCCCTGGTTTCTCTTCGAAGAGGCCTCTCCTCCCATCCAAGAAGCCTCTCCAGCTCCGACTGGATGGCAGGGAACGGAAGGATCTACACTCCCCGTAGACCGCTGGTCATTTGCATTCCAAGTGGCCTCAACAACCCTCTAAAAGGATGCAAATGACCAGCTGTCTGCAAGAAGTATAAATCCCCCCTCACCATCCAGCCAGACCTGAAGAAGCCTCCCGGATGAGAAGCGAAACATCTCCAAAGAAAAACAAGGAAGTCCAGTTGCCTCCTGAAAAAAGCACTTTTGGGAGAAGGATGAAAGGGAAAGAGGAAGAGGAGGAGGAAGATGGGAGGGAAAGAATAAGAGAGACAGACAAAGAGAAAAAGGAAAGAGAAAAAAAAGTCTGCAAGGAGTATAAATCCTTCCCTTCCCCACCATTCAGTCAGAGTTGAAGAAGCTTCTTGGATGAGAAGCGATACGGGAAAGAAGGAGAAGAATAGGAGAGAGAGACAGAGAGAAAGAGAAAAGAAAGAAAAAAAAGGAAGGAAAGAAAAATAAAGAAAAGAAAGTCTGCAAGGAGTATAAATCCTTCCCTTCCCCTCCATTCAGTCAGAGTTGAAGAAGCTTCTTGAATGAGAAGCGATACGGGAAAGGAGAATAGGAGAGAGAGAGACAGAGAAAAGAAAGAAGGAAAAAAGGAAGGAAGGAAAGAAAAGAAAGTCTGCAAGGAGTATAAATCCTTCTCCACCTTTCAGTCAGAGCCGAAGAAGCCTCCCAGATGAGAAGCGAAACATCTTCAAAGAAAAACGAGGTCCAGCTGCCTCCTGAAAAAAGCACCTCTGGGACAACTCATCTGATTTTAAAACCATCATTTAAAAACTCATCATTTTAAAATCAGGAATTATTACAATAAGTAAATTGTAATAATCATAGCTAAAATAAACTGCTATGCTTCATTTTGCTGTTATGCCTAACTAGATGGCTGAGAAACAATTACTGGAATTCCTTCTGGAATTCCTTCTTCAAACAGTTGAGCCATTGACTTCATTCACATGTAGTCCTAAGATATAGTTAAATTATCTTAAGACATAAACCGTGGTTAACAAGCCACATTTGGCCGACATAGCCCAAACCAACAAACTATACTATGGCCTAATACAGGTAGTCCTCAACAGTGCATTGTGACCGTTCTAATTTACAAAGGCACTGAAAAAAGTGACATGACTGTTTTTCATACTTACAACCGTTGCAACATCCCCATGGTCATGTGATCAAAATTCAAATGCTTGGCAACTGGTTCACGACAGTTGCAATGTCTTGGGGTCATGTGATCATCTTTTGTGACCTAACAAGCAAAGTCAATGGGGAAGCCAGATTCACTTAACTATCATGTTACTAAGGTAACAACTGCAGAGACTCCCTTAACTGTGGTGAGAAAGGTCGTAAAATGGGGCAAAATTTACTTAATGACTGTCTCGCTTAGCAACAGAAAATTGGGGCTCAATTGTAGCCTTAAGTAAAGGACTACCTGTATGTTGCATGGTGCAATATTGTTTACATGTAAAAAGTAGCACAATGCAATTCATGAATTTAACAGTTTTAGTTTGCCTAGTGTTGCAAATTGAAAGCTGCTTGCTTTAATGTTGAAATTGTCCTAGAGCAGTGATGGCGAACCTTTTAGAGACCGAGTGCCCCAAAACCGACCCAGCCCCCAGCCCGCCTGTGCTCCCGCCCCGCCCACCTGCAGGGCCACTCACCACCTCCACGGCCTGCTGCAGATCACCCAGGCGGCCTTGCAGTGCCATGGCAGCCACGCCCTCCACCCGCACCCTGCAGCATCATCTGCACGCGATGGAGCACTAGGGCGGAGTCTTGTCCCTGCTGCCCGGCTGCTATGTCCTTGGCTACACTGCTCTGCGTGGGCTGTGCCTGGGGGAGACTCTCCTCTGGGGTGGGCTGCTGGTGAAAAGGCTGCGGGGGGAGGCGGGGCTGGGGCAATGGCACGCCATGCCCACAGAGAGGGCTGAATGCTGCCTCTGGCACTCCACCACTGTCCTAGAGCTAGCAGAGATGGGATAACTGAACTATTTGGGCAAGGAAAAAGCAATAAGTACTTTTATAAAAACCTGGAAACTTTTTGTAGACTGCTGAAAATGGAAAAAAATGAGATTGTGATTGCTGGATTTGATGACTGAAAAAGAATTGAATAAGGGGCTGAAGGAATTATAATGTTAAAGCAGCAGGGATAATGACTTGGCAACTGCGGTAAAGAAAACTAGAAATGGCTTTTAGTTATCTTTCCCCCTTCTTGTAATTATTTTTTTTGTAATTTTTCATTAAGTGAAATGAAAGCTTTGGTGTATTGAAGATCCAACTAAAAACAATCAACAAATTCTTATTTGGTCTACTAATTTGACAGCGGCTTTTAGATATTTTATCTGAGACAGAAAACACAGCAATCTAATAGTCCACTGAAGATATTTATGAAATCTTACATTAGGCAGGAATACCAAGGAAGGGACTTTGAATGGAGTGACTTAAAGGGCAGAAAAAGGGGAAAGGAGCAAAAAAAAAGAAAAAGAAAAAACATTGTAATAGCTACTGTTATCCTTTTTACAATTAAATGAGGGCGACAGAGGCGAATATCAGTGATGATGGAAATTAGGGTTCAGATTATTTACGACCAGAAGTTAAGTCCACGTTGCCCTCATGTGAAAGGCTTTTTCACAACAGAAAAGCAAGACTAGAACTTAGTCTCCTGGTTTCTAGCTTGATAAAGGTGAAAAAAATAAAGTGTTCCCTTTCCTCCTTTCTTTCATGAAGTCTAAACAGGGCTACAACCATGTTTCAGTATATCTGGACTGTCAATGTAACACTGGGTTTGTGAAATTTATTTTGAAGATCAGTTCAGCCCCTCGTCCACTATAATTCAGCGTTCAGAGCAATATTTCAGACTTGACAGCCTTCAACTATTCTGAATTATTTTTAATGTTTTTTTAAACTAGAGCTATTCAACTTGCATGCATATTGTAACAGTTTCTTGGACACTCTGAAGGAAAACTGACTAAAAATGAATCAAGTTTTGTTGCAGGTACTGTTATATGAGAAGGACTTTGGTACTCACTACTAAGTAGTTTTGTAAATGGTCTCCTAACTTTCAAGTACATTTGTAACAGGCACTGGTATAACGACAAAATTAAAAGTAGTGTAATGATGCAGAAACTACAGGTATAACAGTTTGCCTTATAAATACAGTAATAAACATGACTCAGTTTTGCTTTCTACTTCTAGAATCACTAGAAACCCGCACTTTTTTTTCCTCTCAGTTTGTTCATGCCACTGAGGCTTCTGAGGAAATGCTAAGGACAAACAGTCCTCTTTCATCCAGAAAAAGCCTCTTTCGGCTTTGGCAAACAATTAATTTTGTGCTCAGCAGAGCAAAAATATTAGCAAAATTGCTAATAGAATCTAAAAATGAAAGTATGTTCAGTCAGCCTAGCACAGTGTTTCTCAACCTTGACAATTTTAAGGCATGTGGACTTCAACTCCCAGAATTCCACACCCAGCAATGCTGGCTGTGGAATTCTGGGAGTTGAAGTCCACATGCCTTAAAATTGTCAAGGTTGAGAAACACTGGCCTAGCAAACAGGCTTTGTAGAGACTGAGGTGCCTTGCACAGCTGGTCTGCCACCATTACCAGGCCAGAATAATTTAAAATTATTTGATAAAACGGCAAGTAAGCCATGGAGTAATAGTAAAAAGGAATCAAAGGCAAGAGCAATAGTTCAGCAAAATATCACCCCTTTGTGAAAGCACAATATACAACAGTCCCAACTTTAATTATGCTTCATGAAAGATTTCACTTCTACGTCGATCAACTTGCAAACAGTCATGATTAGGAAGAGCTGTTGGTTTGCTCATAAAAATGTCCGTCATCCACCAGACACCGAGAAGACTCTTCTCTCAAGACTTCCATGGAGCTGGCTGTAAAATCCAGACTGTGAGAGGAAAGCTTTCTGAATCCCTCAGTGGAATTGACCGCAACTAATGCTTTGCAAGAAGCATTACTGCTGTCATTAGATATGGCATTCACATCCCTTATAATGATCTCCTGCTGGGATTCAAATGTTAATGGAATAAAGCCCTCACTGTCTGACGTAAGAACAATCCAGGACAAATCTGTAAAAGACAAGAGACACAAACAATATTTTAAGGAATCCCAAAGAGAAGCAGTGACTGTGTTGGCATTTGCATTATACTGTACCTAAGCAATTAACAGGCTTCCTTGCTTACTTCTATACAAAGACCAGTTTAATAATGTCAGATCAAGCGACTAGAGTACAACGTATCTTGGACACAAGATTGGTTTCTCCTATGATTTTTAGATTCATTTTTTGCTTGCAGAGAAAATTGTTAACAATGCATCTTGAGAAGAAAAAAAACGTTGAATATAGTCCTTGACGTACAACCGTTCGTTTAGTGACCATTCCAAGTTACAACACTGAAAAAAGTGACTTATGACCATTTTTCATATAAACAGTGGAGCATCCCCCTAATCACCTAATCAAAATTCAGACTGTTAGCAACTGACTCATATTTAGGATGGCTGCAGTGTCCTGGGATCATGTGATTACCTTTTGCGGCCTTCTGACAAGCAAAATCAACGGAAAATCCAGATTCACTTAATAACTGTTATTAACAACTGAAGCGATTCACTTAACTGTGGCAAGACAGGTCGTAAAATGAGGCAAAACTCATTGAGTAAACCCAGTCCCAGCCTATTTGTGGTCACATTGATGATAGACCATGGAGCATATTTCTATCTTGTTTTCACTTTTCTTCCTCCTCCTCCTCCTCCTCCTCCTCCTCCTCCTCCTCCTCCTCCCTCCCTCCCTCCCTCCCTCCCTGCTCATTTGCCTAAGGATTTGTTCTCTTTATCTCTTTTAAGTACAGTCTGTCATTGCACCAATATACATCCCTAAGTAGAAATGGAGGAACAATGTCAGTATAGAAAGGCATAAGATTAGATGAATGAGTTCTAGGCATAGTGGTGTTTGATTCCTCCTGGCATTATTAAGGTCTAAGCCAGAGGTCTCCAACCTTTTGGGCACCAGGGACCGGTTCCGTGGAGAGAGGTTTTTCCGTGGACTGAAGGCTGCATGGTTTTGTGTGCTGCCTGCATCTCGTGGATGGGGCTTTGCTTGTTTGTGTGGACCGGTTGTTGGCATGCTACGGCCCGGTATTGGTCCACGGACTGGGGGTTGGGGACCCCTGGTCTAAGCTATCATTCTACTATGCTTCTATTTAGCATTTGGCTGGATTGGTGCTTTCCTCTGAATGCCCCCATTCATTTTGGACATTTTGCTTCCCTATTTCTTTGGTATAATAGCATTTGTACCCCTGACTGCTAATCCTGTAAAGGATGAGTATTGCTACTGGATAACTGATGTCACAGCAATACTTAAGAGTTTCCTACGACAGATTAAAAGCTACTATTTTCTCCCTTTTTCCTTCCAAGGAGAAAAGAGGCATGTGGAGTTTCAGTCATAGGCTCTGTCAACATAGGACCACCAGGTTTTCCCATATTACTCCTACATTGTGAATAAAATGTTGGGAGCAAAGGGGGAATAGACATGACATATCCACCCTGACAAACTAGGCAAGGTATGCAGATGTGGGAATGTGGCTGTAGATCATTTCAGTGAGGGCAATAAACAACTTTTCTAAAATGCACCTTCCAAGAGGATTTCATTCTTGTTTATATTTTCCATAAGAATAAAAACTGGCAGGTCTAAATATCCTGTTCTGCTTGTCATTCATAGAGCAGTTCTGCTAGTATTTTGAAAGCACATACTTCTAAACTGTAAAAGTATAACTGGATTTGAAGAATAGAGAGCATTTAGGTTGCACCTCCAATTTATGCAGTGCTGTAGTTTCATATTTTAGAAATGATTTTGGTAGCTGCCAGAGCTTCCATTTCTATGAGGAGTTTCTTTCATTGGTTATGTAAAGCTCTGTTGCAAGTGACATCATGAGAAGATTGCAATCATGTGAACCTTTAATCTTTCTGCTTAGAGTCTTACTTAAACTAGTCAGATAAGGCCAACACTAAGAAAGATTTTCAAAATATCTGTATAGACACAAGCAAACAAACCTGTCTATGTAACATGATATTTAAGCTGATATATCAAATTGAAAATTGCAAACAAGATGAGTCCAGGTCATGGGTGTTAATTATAAACCGTAATTAACAAAGCATCAAATTACTGAGGAGGACCAGTTAGCTGTTGCTGAATTAGATCAAGTTTATTTTTTTTACTTGGATGTACAGATCTACGTGTTTGCAAAAAATGGTAGACGGCCATAGCTCAAGAGATGTGAAAAGAATACATGTCTCAATAACTAAATATGAAGTAGTAGTAAAAGTCTGTGGGAACAATTTATTAAATAAAGGATTTACTCAGCCATGTGATGACATCTAAGAAAATCTGGCTACTGTAATCTAAAAAAAAAATTATATAGGGTTAGATGTGGGTAGTACTTGGATAGGAATCACCAAGAAGTCCCTGGACTATAAACTAGACAGAAGTCAACAAAACCTACCAGAAAGAGGCAGTGGCAAATTATTACTGTTGTCAAAAAAATTACCTGGATGAGTCCATAAGGTCACTAGCAGAACTCAACTGAAAAGATAGTTAAAATTCAAAGGTTTGGAGAGAAAAAACAGAAACTTGAGGGCATACTGCTGGAGCCAATAACAGAAAAAGAGCTAGGAAACTAGCTCATTCATAAGTTTTCAAACAGGATGCCAATTAAAAGTGCTCAGTTGCTGACACAGTCTTCACTTTGAATAGTGTATCATGTTTTTTACCAGCAGGATTATGAAGTGTGTATGTCAAGTATATTTTACCATAAGACCACACTAAACCTTCAGAAGGACACAAACACTTCTTCCCATAGGCATGATAAATTATGCATCCAGCCCTGTTTATGTTTCTTCTAATTATATTTTAAATTATTTTCCTGCTATCTCCACTCATTGGTTCAAGTCTTTCTTTTTGGAAGAACCAAAAATGAGTTTGTTCCATCTTGCCCACAGCAACCAATCTCAGTTGAAGGCCATTGTTTGTTTTTTCCTCAGGTTAAACATTCCCAACTCTTTTGACTATTCTGTGTATGGAGCTATTCTATACATTTCCAGATTCTTCACCATTCTGGCTAGCATCTCTTTATCAATGTCCTTAAAATATGGGACCTATGGATGGTTACAGCATTCAAATACAGCTTACTAATACAGAGTGGAACTACAGCTTCTTATGACTTGAAGTATGTTGAGATATTATTAGTCTCTAAGACAGGGGTGTCAAATTGCTGGCCCACAGGCCAGACGCGTCACAAAGAAACCGCGCCCACTCCATTGCCAGCAATGGGGAAAGCGTTCCGATACGTTGTGCAATGTCACGTGATGTCGCAAGTTTGACATGTCTGCTCTAAGACATACAGGGTTATGTACTCTAGCCCCACTCCTTCTATTTTGGCCCTTCCCACATTTTTATGGAAGGAGGGATGTGAAACTGTATCTCTGTTCATTTATTAGTGTTCCCAAAGTTATCTTTCATACTTACCATGCTGCATTTCAACTACACCCACATTGAAAATCTTCTGAATTATGCTCAGACGGAGTTTCCCATCACAGAGGATAACAGCATGCTGTTCAGAAGTAACAGATCCGGAAGACTCTTTCTGTTAATTTAAGAATTAAGAATTTTAGGCGTAGTGATTCATAAGAATTAATCCCATACTCACAAACCCAGGTTTCAAAATGTGGGAATAGATACCATTCAGATACCATCTTGTTACTTAGTGCCACGTGCATACTTTATGCCCACTGGTAAGAGCTGCATACGCAAAGATACTACTAAGACTGAACTTGCACAATTTTCACCTTGAATATTATAGTACTTTGGGCGTATTCAGATCAATAGCTAGAGCAAAGGATGTCACAAATGAATCCAGTTCAATGTTTGTTTTCTCTGTCTCTATAGGTAAAAAGTACTGTCGCTCATGTCTGACAGCCACTACTATCTATCTATGAAATATTAGGTGTATGTCACTTTGATCTGTGCAAGACAATACCTATTCATGCAGTTTCATGCAACACACACACACACACACACAACTCATGGTCCTTCCTCCAGCCCATTCCAGGAGTTATGTTCACAAATCCCATGGAAGGAAAATTAGGCTAAGACAGGGGTAGGCAACCTTGGCTCTTTTATGACTCGTGGACTTCAATTCCCAGAATTCCTGAGCCAGCCATGCTGGTTCAGGAATTCTGGGATTTGAAGTCCACAAGTCATAAAAGAGCCAAGGTTGCCTACCCCTGGGCTAAGAGAAAATAGCTCCCTTAAGATTATCCAGCAATTCTTGAGACTTAATGGAGATTTGAACCAGAGTTTTTCTTGTCTTAATTAAGTGTCCCTCTAGCCCAGGGGTGTCAAACTGCTGGCCTGCAGGCCAGTTGTATCATGCGGAGGCCGTACCCACCCCCACTTTGGCAATGCAAAAAAAGTCGTGCTACGTTGCGACACGTCACATGACGCAGCAAGCTTGACACCCGTGCTCTAGCCAAATCTACTGGCTCTCAAATGGCATTTCTGAAATATTTCCAACCTCTTGAAAATTACTTTTTAGATTTCATTGCAGTGTCAATTCTAGAAAGTCTACAAAGGCGCCAGACATACACCGATTCCTCCAAAGGAGTCCAAATCTTTCTTCTCCTATCTTTAAGAATAGCTTTACATAACTAGATTTTGGCCAATGGCTTGTTGCTCTTCAGAAATTTTACAGCAAAGCTCACGAGGAAGGAATCAATATTACTAGTTTTTAAGTATACAGCTAGCTGTATTAAAATTGTGATAGCATATTCTTTTTTTAAAGTTACCTGGCAAATTACGTTAACAAAAGAAGGCTCACAAGATGGCGGATACTGTGGAACAATTTTTTTCCCGGATCTTAGAAGCTCAGTTATCTCAAAAAGTTGATGCTGAAGTTCTGCGAAGCTGTAGCACAGTTCCTCGAGATTTTTAGAGATACAATTGGCTTCTTTGTCACTTTGCGTTACGTTCCTGTTTACTTCACGAGAATTCTGTGTTTGTTTGCCATATAACTTAGAGGTTTCATGAGATCTATCTCCTGCCGTGGTTGAAATTGGCATGTTTAGTGGTCCTGAAGAATTTTCAAGCTCTTGAAGAGCAAAGGAACGAGCTATTGGCTCAACGTCCAAAGTTCTCAAATCTTGAGGAAAACCCTTGGACATCTTTTTCTCAGCAGAATCCACGCTTGTTGACGAGCATTGCTCGTTAGCAATTTCTTCTATCAGTTTCTTCTTCCCAGGAAATGGCATGCTCACGCAATCTGGGAGCAGCAATCCTTCTCTCAGAAAGTGAGCATCAGAAGAATGACTTTCAACGTACTCTCTTTTCACTGGTATGTTCCTGAAACAAATCTGAGTAGGACCCGAAAGCGCAGAATGGCCTTCTCTAGAGGTGATCTTTCTGACTATCAAGCGAAGAATGTATTTGTCTGAGCGCGAAGATGGAAGAAAAGCAGGATCCACTAATTTTTGTTTTCCAACCAGGATCAGCAACAGTTTCTCTGTTAGGAAACACAACCCCTTTGGCCTCTCATTCTTCTCCAAATGAATTTGTTGAATGTTAGGCAGGAGTGTTGAAGTTAAGGAATAAGTCAAAATTATGTTACAGGTATTGGAGGCGACTACCACAGTCTGTGTTTTAGAGTCAAAAGCCATGATATCTGGGACCAGGATACCTGGGATGCTGACTTTTTTGCTAGTTGTCGCCTTTTTTTCAAAAGTCACCAAAATGAAATGTGATGCATCGTGACCACTTCCAGTTAAGTAATCTTTGGATCGTAGATTAATGAGGGGACTGTTTTCAGATTGCTGTTTACCTGAAGGGAGATGAGTCAAATCCACTGGGGATGATGTAAAACTTTCCTGGTCTGTTAACTTTTCCCCATCATCTACAGAGGCATCACCATCATTTTCCAATGAGCTACCTTGGGAAGGAACTGGATTTCCAATAATTTCACTTGGGATTTCAAATGAAACACCAGCATTTAAGCTGCAGATCTTGTCTAGTGGCAGTTCAGTAGCAACTGCCACTTGAGTGCTCATAGTTGGTTCTATTGCACAAACATAGCCCCCTACATCAAATATTGGACAAAAGGAGCAAGCATTTAAAGTTTTCTGATCATCATCCCACATGTAGGAATGGAGGGTGCTACCTATCCCAATCACCAAACGTTTGCCTTCCTCAGTCCAACAAGCACAATGAATAATACCGCTACCTTTGATGTCTGCTTTGATTCTGGAGTTATTGAGTCGCACTGAATGGAGCACAGAAGTTTCTCGCGTAGTGAGCACAGCTAAAATTTCTTTTTGGGGATGCCACACACAACCCTGGGGAAGTATAGGAAACAACTCGCTGATTTCACTGATCTGATAAACCATCAGCTTGTTTTGTTCTGAACCGCTGTAACAGAGTTGCCACATTGTAATGTGTCTTTTGTGCTGAATGGCAAGAAGTGCAGGAGCATCTGGTGCACAAAACGGACCCCAGTAAAGTCCATGAACGTGTTCAAATTGACCCACAACATTTGAGTTGCCAAAGTTAGGTTCTCCATTACGCTGGTATAAAGAAGTCAGTATCACTTGCTTTCCATCTGTCCAAGCAATTCCATGCACAGGATGGATGGCCTGGTGTAAGGCATTAAGGCCAGTCCTCAAGAGCTTTCCTTTCCCCAGCTCCATGTTTAAGTTTTCATGGAATACATCTGCAAAGAAAACAAATACCGTTTTAATTACTAACTAATTATTAGCTAATTTGCCATAAAAGTAAGTGAAGGCAAACTATGAACGTTTTATAATTGGTACTGTTTCTTTATTCTATTGAGGCTTTTGTTGAGCTTCTTTAAAATGATTCATTGGTACTCAACCTGACTTAGGTTCTCAATGTTTTAAGTAAACAAATTGTCTCAAGTGAATTTGATAGCCACATTTTAGTACAGGGGAAAAAAGCAGGTCAGCAGTTCTCCATCACATATAAAGATATACCTTATAAGAAATACATATTTTTCTTTCCACAAATTAATAATAATAATAATAATAATAATAATAATAATAATAATAATAATAATAATAATAATAATAAAGTTGGAAGGGACCTTGAAGGTCATCGAGTCCAACCCCCTGCTCAGGCAGGAAACCCTACACCATTTCGGACAAATGGCTGTCCAATCTCTTCTTAAAAACTCCCAGTGTTGGAGCATTCACCGCTTTGTAGTTCAGAAAAAAAGCAACACTGGGTATCTGAATTCTTCTGGAGCTCTATGCTGTAACATTTTGGTATATTGGAAAAAGAATGGCTGAAAATGATCAGCCTATTTTTGACTTATGGGACACTATAAGGGTGATGTGAGAACATGAGGCCTAGCAAAAGCAATTCATCCCCATTGTCATCCTGAAATCACCCCATAAGTCAAATCAGTGGGCCACAATCACACTGCGGAAATCTATTTTGCTACTTGGATTTCAGAGGAGCATTTTCTGGATACTGAAAACATAAAGGGGATCCAATATCTGGCCCTTGATTAGTATTTCTAATCAGTTACAAGGAATATTTCTATTTTTAATTTAACTCAAAGAGTTTGTTCATTCAGGAACAGGAAAATGTGATCCTTCAGATGTTGGTGAAGTACAACTTCCAGCAGTTGCAGTCAATTTGGGTGATGCTGAGAGATTTTTAGTTTAGCATCTGGACAGCCAAATGTTCTCTCTCCTTGTTTAAAAATGAACAGGGTGACTATGACACACAGGTCTATTTTGTATCAAATTATGATTACAGATAACCCTCGATCTACGACCACAATTGAGCCCCAAATTTCTCTTGCTAAGGGAGACCTTTAAGTGAGTTTTGGCCCATTTTACAACCTTTCTTGCCACAGTTGTTAAGTGAACCACTGCAGTTGTTAATAACAGTTAAGTGAAGCTGGCTTCGCCATTGACTTTGCTTGTCAAAAGTTTGCAAAAGGTGATCACATGACCTCAGGATACTGCAGCCATCATAAATATGAACCAGTTGTCAAGCATCTGAATTTTGATCACGTGACCATGAAGATGCCACAAGGGTTGTAAGTTTGAAAAACGGTCACTTTTTTCAATGCCACTGTAACTTTGAACGGTCACTAAACAAACTGTTGTAAGTCGAGGACTACTTGTAATCCAATTTAATCAACAGTATTTTCCAATAGAAAAAAAAATGCCTGCTCATATCACCCCCACCACATTTCAAGAGTGGGATAAATTCCAAAGCAGATCTCAGAATAACCGTGAGTTATAATGGGGGTGAAAGCCAAGCCAAGCCAAGCCATGGAAATATACAGACATCAAGCTGAATATAGTCTGTCGTTTGCAGGCTTGGATCTTTCAAGATGTGGCCACCTTATTTTTTCGACGAAGGCTGCAATTCGGAAGTGGCTCTCCTTGACCACTATCTGGGAGATGATGATGGAGAGGTCCATCCGAGACTCCCTGCTTCAGCCTTTTAAAACCTCGGTCCCCAGGGCTTGTCGGGATAAAAACTTCACGTTAGGAAACCGGCGTTAACTAGTGGCGGGGGCAGATGGGAACTGTAGTCCGGTCAGAAACCTAAAGACCGGCTAAGTAGAAAGAAAAAGGACCGCACAAGGCGGATTCGGGGTCTTAGGGAGCAATTTCTCATTGCATTTCCCACCCTTGACCCTTTTATCTTCCCCACGGGCAAGTGCCTGGGCTTCTTTTGCTGAGCCTCCTCCCGTTTCTGACGCCACTCGGCCGCCTTTGGGTCCAGCGCCGCCTCCGATCGCGCCCGTGTGGTTCCAGCCCCATTTACCTCTCTAAACACGCGATCCGGCTGCCCCTCTGTGTAACGACATCAACCTCTTCTCACGCCCACTCGGTGCTCAGTTTACCGCCGGGATCCCCAGCAGCTCGGTCTGGGGAGGAGGAATTGCCGGGCAGCACCACATGGACTTACCCCGTCTCGCCACAAGGGACGCTGCTGGCGGAGGCTTTCCGAAAAGGCTAAACAAAAAAAAGGAGGCGGGATCCAAGCCTTATACGCAACGCATCCCCTGTCCTGCCTATGGTGTGACGTCACCGGAACTCTATTTCTCTATTGGTCTGTGTGTGATCTAATAAACGCCCCCTTGCGACAAAAACGCTGGAAACTTCAAGCTCCCGCGAGCCTTCCCGTCATGCTGCTTGGTAGCGGAGGCTCCCCCCCCCAGCTTGGAGGTGGGGGGGGGGAAATGGCGGGAGCTGTGTGCGTTGCTTTTGGGGCTGCGCGGCTGCTACAAGGCGATTTTTTCCGAAGAGGGGCTCGAGATGCCAATGCCGCCTTTCCACAGTTTTGCGTTCCTGCGGCTAACGCCAAAAAAGTCAGAAGTAATAAAAGCTGAACTGTCTTTTAAGCACCGCAAATTGGTAGTGGGTTTATCATGGCAAATCGCTCTCTTTTATTGGTTTTTCCCCCCCCGGTTTATTGTAGTCGTTGATCTTGTTTTCTTTAATATGTACAAGCAATAAGCTTTTTTTATTTTCTTGTACTCTTCTAAAGGCAAATTTAAAAAATAGTAGAGAAAGCTAGAATGTGTTGTCTTTCATAATATTTAGAGCAGGGGTAGGCAACCTTGGCTCTTTTATGACTCGTGGACTTCAACTCCCAGAATTCCTGAGCCAGCTTGGCTGGCTCAGGAATTCTGGGAGTTGAAGTCCACGAGTCATAAAAGAGCCAAGGTTGCCTACCCCTGATTTAGAGGTTATCAGTATGTCAAGAGTTTCAATTTTTTTACAATTAGCAAAATTTGTAGCAAAATTATTATTGCAGAGACGCCAAGATTTAAGAAACACTTTTATTTTTGTGATAAAGTACAACAGAGGCAACTCTTTTGCATTATAAATGCTCATTTAGTTAACTAAGCTCAGTTATGATTTGAAGTCAGCTTTATTCCCCCCCCCAGAAACCAATTTATGCCATTTATCCCTCAGCTTTGTTACAGTGGTATTTAAGTTTGTGAACGCTTTTGAATATTCAATATTTCATAATAAGTATGACATAAAACATGATGTGTTCTCCACACAAGTCCAAAATGAATGAGAACCTAATTAAACAAATGAGTCAGAAATATACTTGTGCATTGCTTTACTGTATTGAGAAATTGATCCAAAGCTATATATTTGTGGGGCAAAATATGTTAGCCTTTGCTTTCAGTAACTGGTGTGCCCTCACCCCCTTTAGGAAGCAATAACTGCAACAAATATTTCCAATAATATTTGATCAGTCCTGCACATACGCTTGGAGAAATTTTTACTCCTTCCTCCTTACAGAAAGTCTGAACTGGGGATTTAGATGGGCTTTTTTACATGAACTACCTATTTCAGGTCCTTCCACAACATTTTATTTAGGACTAGCTGTACCCAGCCACGCGTTGCTGTGGCTCAGTCTGGTAAAAGCGTGTGTTGCTTTTACGTCCAACAGATGGTGCTGTTTTTTTTAAAAAAGCATGTTTTACCTGTCACAGGTGTGACATCTATATAATATAGGTATATAAAAACACACGCGTATTCGAATGCAACGTTGTGTCAAAATTTCAAAGCAATCGGTGAAGAACTTTCGGAGATTTAAGATTTTGAACAAACGAACATTTACATTTTTATTTATATAGATTAAGGTCCGAACTTTGGCCATTCCAAAATATAACTTATATTTGCTTTAATCATTTTTGAATCATGGTTGATGTGCTTGGGGTCATTGTCCTGCCTCTTGATCTACTTTCTCTTGAGCTTCAGTTCATGGACAGATACCCTGACATTTTCCTTCAAAATTTCATAATTCGATTAATGGCGAGCTGTCCTGGTCCACAGGGGGCAAAGCAAGTCCAAATCATGATACTGCCTCTACTGTATGGTTCTTGCATTGGAATGCAGTATTTATCCTTCACCAAATAGAGTGCTTTTCATTCAAGCCACATAGTTCTATTTTAGTCTCATCCTTCTACAGAACATTCTTCCAATAGCCTTCTTGCTTATCCATGTGATTTTTCGCAAACTAGATGAGTAGCAATGTTCCTTTCAGAGAGTAATGGCTTTCTCCTAATACCTGCCATGCATACTATTGCTATTCAGTGTTGTCATGAACACTGACATTTACCAATGCAAGAAATCCCTTACTTCTTTAGATGAATCCTAGAGGTTTGCACACATTTGCCATTCACAAATATATAGTTTGGGATCATTTTCCTTAATGAACAAATGAACAGGTATAACAGGTTTTTGACTCATTTATTTAACTGGATTTTCCTTAGCTAGCTTTAAGACATGGAGAAGAGATCATATTTTAGTTTATGTTTATGCAGAAACATTGAAAATTCAAAAGGCTTCACAAACTTTTAAGCACCACTGTTTATACAAATAACATTTGGGCAAATGGTTTTTTAAAAGCACAGTTTAGATATATGGGAAAAGATCTGGAAAAGATGGAGTGACGGAGTTAATCATTTGGGTAGTTATTAATAGGTACTAATGCGCCCATGTGTAGATATTGTAAATATTTGAGATATTTATATACAATATATATTATAGCAGGACCTGCGTATGCTCTTGCCATTCCCTCCAATACAAGCTTTTCCCCAGTACAAATAGGAGCAGGACTCTAAACAGTGTTAGAGCCACAATAAGGTAAATTCAGTTAAAAAGCCTCAGGGTCCAATTAAGA